TTGTCCTTTTCCTATCCTCTTCTCATCTTATTAGTTTTTGTCTCTTACCTTTGTACTTGGCAAAACATGTATGATACCAAAGCTAAAGGGGTCCATGAATTGTGGGAAAGAGTAGAAAAGGAATGGAACTCTTTCACAAAAACCGATTGTAGAAAGTACATTGATAGTATGCCTGGCCGTATTAAAGCAGTTATTGATGCCAATGGTGGCTCAACCCGTTATTAATTTCATTTTTTAATAAATATGTTGCAGTGAAGAAACTCTAAAAACCGACCGTCTGACTTTGAACATTGATTGCTACGGGTACACGTAAATTCGGAGCCTTAAATTTATACATATTGCTGTAAACGATAATAAGACTGTCTGCTCAAAGTTTGAGCCTTCTGCGTGACGTAACGACGATGCAGTGCTTAAAAAACCAAAAAATCTGCTTGCATGTTTAGAGTTTTTTCACCCACTGTATATTCTATCACCGTACGGTATTCTTGTGTTTAGAGGCCTATGCCTCTAGCTCAGTGGTCAAAAATCTTTGATTTGGAGCCAAAGTTCTGTGTTCGAATCCCACGAAACCGCCCTCAGTAGCTTGCTCTTGAGGGTTTTAATGACGCTTTCTATGGCTCTCGGCTGCTGATCGTTGAAAGTAAACAAATTATGAATGATTGCGGTACCTTCCCAGGTCGAAATAAGCATGAACCCAGACACTACCAAGTCTTAGCCTACCAACTATAATGATTAGTTTATCTCCCTCTACCCACCTCCGCTAGATTGTATGCTTTCCCCTCTACTATCAGTACCTTCCGACCCTCATCACATTATAAGCCCTACCTTGTTGAATTTGCCCAGGCAATTTCAGTGTAAAAATCCTACGTGCTCACTTGGGTTAAATAAAAAAGTTGTTTAACCGTATTCTTGTGATTGGTCAGTTTATGTTACTGAGCTTTTGTTGTCGATATATAGACATTGCTTATTGATCCTTATTCAACGTGGAATACGACAATAACTCGAGTATAATCTTACAGTAGAGTATACATTCTACTTTAGATTCTTCTATTGCATCTGATAAGAATAACTTATAACAATGACAATAATAGTATAAGCATAAATAATGCTAGTGACGACAATAATATAAATAGCAGCCATAGATTCTCCACCCAAGTAAACTTTCACAAAATATTATTCAGCTCTTCTTAATAAAGAATCTAATTCGTAAGTCATCGACTTAACTGCCTTTTTACAGCCACAAAGCTGAATACAACATAAGGGATATCTTTTTTCTTTGTTCGCTTAAATACCTCATGAATTTCAGCCTTTGAAGAATAAATTTTGTCAGTGATGATATTATTCTTGGTAATCTTAATGAGGTTTACAATGCTTTAGTATGAGACATGGCTAAATCAACATTAATGGAGGCAAGGATTTCAGTGTTGTAAGTGTTCTTGGTGGTAAAATTCAAAAAGAAACTCAATATGGAATGTCACTTTGGAAAGCTAATAAGTCGTATTCAGTAACAGACGCACAGCTTAAATCTGATGCATGTAGCAAAGAAATTAGTGTGATGTTATAATTTTATTTTCTGGTGCATGTAGTGTTTATCTTTTTTGTTCTCTAGGCCACATCTCTCAACAGGATGTGCGTTTCCTTTATTAAGTGCATATATATTCAACAAAATAAATAAATAAATAATGAACTCTCTTCTTGCCTTAGTACGCAATAAAAGAGATTATAGACTCATCACTCTACATTTTCCATTATTTACTTCTTTGTTATTCCAGATATATCACAAACACGCTTGGATTCTACACACTTTTTAACCAGTTGTTAATTTGTATAAACTATAGACATTATTAAGGAACAAAGCACGTAAGAAACGCAATAGTTTATTATAAATCTTATGTTTTCCATATAAAAAGTGCTGTTAAAAGATCTAAAAGTGCACCCTTTAGCCGTATTGATTAGCAATATTTCAATCTTTAAACAGACATTTGAAAGATAATATGTCTTTACTTTTTTGCGCCGCTGGTCGAATAATAAAGGCATTTATCAACAATTCAAATCTTTATTTTGAAATACATATTATACAACTGCATCGTAACTTCTAGTCAAATGGAAGGGGACGAAAATTGCTTGTTCTCTTTGAAGCCGCAGCAGCAGCAATTGCACTAGGTACAGGTATTCCACAGCATTCTGGATATTCTCGATCAGTATTATCATCGCTTTGGACAGTAGTATGGACATGTCCACATGACTCTTCATGGTTATCAGTAAAAGCCTCTCCGCCTGTGAAATGTATAAGGCTGCCAAACATAAAGTGCTGCATAATAGGTAGCTTTCCTAACACCTCTGCCTTGTACATCTTCATCATTCCTTGGTTTACCTTTGCCCACGTTTTACATGCTGATATATCATCTAACATGGGAGAATGCCATCGTAATGTTGCACTCGTTTTTATATTATTGATAAAATGAATGCATCCAAGGTACATGTACGATTTGTAAAATTGCTCGACAACATCTTGATCGTGAATTGATTTAGGCTTTATATACTTGTGATCTACCTCCATCATGTTATTAATGCCGCTTATAAAAAAAAAAGCTGTATATAAATATACACTAACCTAAAAGTTGGGCAGAGCCAAATAGAAATGGAAGAAAATGGTAATCATCGAGACCCCAAACACCATGAGAGCCAGCCGGCTCAAGCCAATATTGAAACTGAAGGCGTCTCATGACTTGAATATACCTATATAGTATTAATATCATCTCCATTGCTTTTAATTTAACTTACTTAACAAACACTCGTAATACAACCGCAGCATCGTCTTTTGAGTCAATAACCTTTAATTTCTCAATACACAGCCTTAAACACAATCTGATTAGTGCCCCTGCTCTTTTTCTTTTTTCTCCATCTTACAGCCATGCCATAAAGTTTGCTTCATGTCCTGTTCCGTAATCAATCCTAGTCCTGTTGCCGAAACTTTCACAAAAGTAAACAGCCACTTCGGGTATAGCTTCCTTTGGGATCAACTCGTCGAATAGTGTTCCTACAGACTAAGACATTAGTCAATTATTTGTACCATTTTGTTTTTACCTTTTCAAGTCGATCGTAAAATGTGCGAAAGGCAGGATTGCCAAAACGTGATTTCGAATTTTCGACAGGAGGTATTTCGTCAATCCAGCCCGAGATGGTGTCAAGGATGTTTACAATGGATGTCACATTCTATATACTATCAGCTTCATGTCTTTTTTTTTTTTGGTGCCATGATATAACCCACATTGGACATTTCAATAGTAGAATCTATTTTCAAATTCTTGACTGCGTCATTCAATCTTTCAATATAACCAATATAGTCTTCATATGCACTTGAATGCAAAAATTCATCGAGATGAGCCTTTGTGGCAATTCGTTTTGTTGGTATTGAAAAAGACATTTTTGTAAGAAAAAAAAAAAAAGAATAAAAGGGCAGTACTTGAGCTTTTAAAGTACTCCGATTTTTTTTCTCTCTTTTTGCAGGTTTTTCTAGTATTAAACCAATACGCTGACTTTATTAAAAGTCATTAGTTTATATAAAAGATATGTCCTCTTGAACCTTACTCATTTATGGAAGGATGGTGTGTTTTATCACATATGTTCCCTTATTGATTAGGTTGACCTAATAAATCACATTCTCAGTTGTTCTCATTGGCCAATATCGTGTCTATGTGACTATTTGACAGTTGACAGGTTTTAAAAAAAAAAAATAAAGAAATTTTGTTTCCTTGTTTCTACAATATGAGTAGATCTGGTTCAGAAGCCATCGCTAAAGCATTAAAAGGTGGAGGATTATCGTCTGTTGAAAAGATTAAGAAGGCACGCGAAGCATGGAACAATAATTCATTATTCTTTCCAAATAAAGATGATTTTTTGTTTACTTGGCTTTGTAGTTCCTTTGCTAAACCAAACATGAAAAAGTAACATTTATATTTCTTTTGTCTTTCTTTAACTGATATCTTTATATGTTAGGCTAGACGATTGTTGTCTATTTCAAATCGATTATTGGATCTTGTTTGTAGATCTATTAGAACACTATCAACAATCACAAGATCGCAATCTACCTCCTGTTCATATCAATCCTCTTGCATCTGTCATCGCCGTCTTACAACATACCGACAATATCACAAAAGACTATTTATTGCTAATCAGCCGATACCTTCAGTTGTTCTTTTCTGTGTCATTTACCTCGTCTTATAGACCTACATTTGAACATGTCTCAGCTCTAGTAGAACAGGTCTTGATCAACCTCGAAACACAAACCAATGAAGCGTTACTTGCCATTGCCTTGCCTGCTTTACAAAAATTAAACTCGCAGATTGTCGCTATTGCCAACCAGAAAAAGGTATTGAAACAACAAAAAAAATGCCTTCAAACTAAAATAGACAATAGGTTTTTTCAACGCTCGTAGACAAGCTGCTTTCCAAGTTATTGCATGTACGACGACGCATGGATGATTTAAAGATCAAAGAACAGATTACAGACATTATCTGTAAGGGCCTATTTCACTCAGATATCATCTTGGAATATACCTCTGTTCTCAGCTCAGTTGACACTACAGCAAAGCAAACAACCTATGTGATCAGGCTGTTTGACTTGTTGGAAAGTATGATCAAACAAGACAGGAATCAAATGCTTGACGGTAAATGCTTTATTTTTTTTCCAGAACACATATATATTAACATCTACAAAAGCTGTCGATATCATGCCTACTTTATTGTCTGCTTTTGTTATTTCATTTAGACAAAAACGTAATGTACGTTCTGAAATGATGCAAAGTAACGACAGAAAAGTAGAGATTGGAATGTTTATGTACATGTTGAAAATATATAACAGTATGGAGCAAGGTGAGCCCTCTGTTTACTTGAAATCATTATCACAACTATTAGAAAAAGTGGTACATGAAAGACTCTATACGGCTCAGATCGAACAGGATAACCTTTTGCTTGAATTATCTGGCAAGATGATCAGCTATATTCATAGTTCAACAGGTAAGCTCACACATAAACAGAGCCCTATAAAGGGGATTAACAACCATAATAGGAGATGACCAAAGCTCTATATTTGATATCCTTGATCATTTACTGCAGATAGACATATCATTACTCGAAAACCAGCTTGATGTCATTTGGCCAATAATGTTGAATGTAAGTGATAAATAATGACTTATGCAACTCAAACTAATGTTATATATAGCCGGACGATCAAGCGGAGAGCTCTTGTGCACGATTTGCAACATCAGTCCTAAACGTTTACACTGCCTCAAGACAAATGGACGTATTTTTGGACGAGCTGCTTGAACATATCTGTCGATTGCAACTATCAGATTTAAACATGTTAAAGAAGCCTTTATTTAAAAGTGACTTTCTGGATCTGTCAGTAACATTCATATTTCTTCCGCCCTGTATAAGCTAACTTTTTTAGGATAGATTCTCTCAGTCAACATGCAACAATTACATGCCAATAGAACAGATTTTAAGCATATTCAATCACTTTTCTCAAAAGCTCAACCAGCAAGCTCAGTCTCCAAATGTCAACTTCATATCGATTTACTTCTGTAGATTTATATCCTCTCTCAAGCCAAGTACTCAACAGCGCCAAAGATTTCAAGAACCATCTCTTGAACTTTTTAAAACATTTATCAAGCCTAGTTTGACTCGCATGAATACATTCATACCAGCCATACAGGTTCATTCGGTCTTGACGCGTGTGTTTTGCGAAAACTATACACAAAAGCTAGAGTCAGCCGACCTTGCTTCGATTGAATCATCTATCACGTCTACTTTTGAACAATCCAAAGAAGGCAGCAACAACGAAGCCTGCATGAGAACAGCGCTCTGTGTAAGTTGCTTTGTTGTTTAGAATGAAAAAGTCTCACAGCTTTCTGATTAGTGCAATGCTCTGCTCCAACACGTTTATTACCATACGTTGTTATTTAAGTCTAGTTCTCAGCGACTTGATCTAGTGCTCGATTTTATATTTGATGAAAGCGATGCATGGTATATACATGCTACATGGGACGGGTCTATTTTGAATATTCATAGTAAAGTGCAAGCAAAATTGGCTTGCTGGAAGTTACTCACTGATGACTGGTTTGAGCCCTTATCGTAAGAAAAAAAGAAAAAAAGATTAGCTTTTATCTTGACTCATGCCTTTATTTTAGTCGATGTCTGGATAAAGATCAAGCCAAGACATTTATGCACATCATTTATCAAACAATGAAACACGAACACTCGACTCATGCTATTACTGCATCCATGCTGAGTAAAAAGATGTTACGCTGCGCCAGTTTCTATGAAGCAAGTTGCTTTAGCAGTAAGGAACACACTTGCTTAATATTTTTGCATATCTCATATTCTTCCTCTCTGAAACTATAGGTTGGAATGTGCAGACCTACTTGAAGGCTATTATCAGTTTATTTAACACTACAGATCAACCCAATACAGTCTCAACAGCTGCTGCAAAACTACTTTCAAACATTGACACAACTGCACCATTTATGTGGGATAAAAGTGTAATCAATGACTTGTTGACCGATCTCAATGTCTCTTCAACAATCGAGCCTATGGAGATTGACGATATGGATCAACAGCTTGCTACTATATTCAATCTGCTTGCGTTGTTTCCTAACGAATGCTTTGGCAAGAATGAACGTGCGTTGGTTGTTTACATTGCTACTCTAGTAGATATCTGGTCCGTATCCAGCCTGACTTTCCTTCGTTCAAAGATTTCACTAGCGTGCAAAAGAATGGTTTTACAATTTATAAACTACTTTAGTGTCAACAGTATCCTTGTACGTTTGTTTATATATGGCTCAAAAGAACTGTCTCATACTTTATATTATTAGGGATCTAGTGCTGATATTTTGTCTTGGTTAGTTACAGCTAGTCTCAATTCCACTTGTTCTGCACTAAAAAGAGCATCACATCAACTTGAAGAAAGCGTTTTACGAAGGATGATGGCTTTTGCTACTGCTAAATCCGTAGATACACAAGTCATTGAATATATCAAAACTATTAGCGACAAATGCAAATCAAGCGTTGATGACTACATTCTCCATGGAACACCTATCGAGACTGTCAGCTTATTAAATTCAATGACATCATTTATGAGTACTAGGTAAGAAAGAGAAAGGTGTTTAAAAAAAGCACATGCGCTCACATTTCTAAAAAGAAAAACTACAGAAGAACTCGTCTTTATGAATAATACAAAAGACGCAATTACAGTCATTAGTGACAAAGCTCACAAGGCCCTTTCTAAGGCTCGATCCGTTATTATCGATATATTGCATAACGCTGCCCCAATGGATAAGCAATTTGAAAGCATAAAGCGTACCTTTTATTTAGTACGCTTATTAAATGACTATAGTGAAACTCTTGGTACAGATGCTAACAGAGGTATGAGTTTTTATACATACGCATACATCAAGACCTTCTAAACATTTTGTGCACAGTCAATTCCGCCAAGCATCTCTCTGAGGATCTAACAAGCATCGTTTCTCCTTTCATTCAGTTACTGCAAGTAACAGTTGATAAAGATTTGTCTATTCTTGATATGGCTACTGACTTTATTGCTGCTTTCTGTTCTATGCCATCGCATTATCAACATGCTAAAATGACAAAGCATACTTTGGCGACGTTTTGGTTTATCTTTTCTTTGATTTATAAAACAGGTAAGCCTTTATATTTTATATTTTATGCGCGCTACAACTCTTGTATATAGAGAATATAACGTGCATCCATGTCCTCTCAGACACTTTTAAATCATGGACCAAGAGACTACCAAAAGAACAACTGGATATTGTCCTCAATGGGTTTTTGGAGCAGGCGGAAGTGGAAGCTGCTAGTCGAGAGGACCCTGAAAGAATAGGACATCATCTGGTATTCATGGAGCTGTTTTCCTTACTCACTTCTTCGGAAAGTAAGTAGTTTACATCAGCAATCATAATGTATATTCACTCACCTTTTTATTAATAGATCTTAAAACCAGTGTAAAGAAACAAGTGCCGCTCTTCATCATTAAGATTCTTCTTTTAGCTGAAAAGACAAGCTCAATGAAGTTATTACAATTGATGCTAAAGTTGTTCGTTCAATTGACTGCTGATCAAGTAATGTATTGAATAGAACGTGCCAAAAAAAAAGCTAATCCGTGTTTTAGTCTTATCGATTCTCTAGTTTTGAACTATCTCTTGTACTGTCGTGTATAACCCAATTAGCAGAACCCTCAGCACCAGAAAGATTCAAGGGACAGATAAATAAGGATATAGTATATGGTTTATTCCAAGACCTCTGTAGCATCCTATCAAACGTCATGCGTCATTATAAAGAACAAATGATAGATATTATGCCACCATTCATCGCACTTACACAATCCTTATTGCACTGTTTCGCGTCTCGACATATTCAACTTGTGATGAACAAAAAGAACAATGATAAAAGGACAAACCGTACGTTTGCCCTCTTTGCGGATTATGCTCCTTTCGATGATACGGCAGCACAGCGCTATGCTCGTGTGTTGACGACTATACCGCAAAAGCAAAATATCAGGACGAGCAAGAGTAGTCAATCGATTATGAAGACCATTTCAAAACACACGCCTTACATTTTACTTGAATATTTTACGATCCAGTCCAATCCGACTGTGTGTGTGATTCAACCAAGCACAAAATTGATTCTGACAAATGCACTGTATGACATTCTGGATCTTTGTACAGACAACGATCGTGCGTTCATTATGGCTTGCTTGGGTGCATCAGGAAAGTTGCTGTTTAAAGACTTTTGCGCCAGCTGGAAAGAAAATCATAAATATTCTGGTCAATAAACACTTTTTTATTATTATTCATCGTAGCCTTGCAAAGAAGCATACACTCCTAAATCGATCTTTAGTCTCTTGCGTCTTCTGAGTTCACCCCTTGCTTTATCGCGTAGTTGAACGTTTGTCTTGTTTTCTAATTCTGGGTATCGTTGTTCCTTAATCTTGATCCACCTTGGCCCCACTTCTGCTATTGCTCTCTCTAATGCTTTCACTTCGTCATCTTCCCATCGTATGCGTTTGGTATGACCGAAGCGTACGTTTCTTTCAGTGACCGATATCCGTTCACCATTCTCATTTTCATATTCTCGTCTTATAGCTACCACGTCGCCATTCTTATTTTTAATTTCTGTTCTTGAAATACCGTTTAATACACCCAAGTTCCTTCTTCCCTCTGGTTCTGGAGAAGACTCTGGTTCTGGAGAAGACTCTGGTTCTGGAGAAGACTCTGGTTCTGGAGAAGACTCTGGCTCTGGAGAAGACTCTGATTCTGGAGAGGACTCTAGTTCTGCAGAAGAATTTCTTTCAATATTAACTGTAACTTCTTGTGATTCTTGATCTGATGCAATATATGCTTCTATCTGTTGTTCATCTGACATTATGCCACTACACAGACAAAAAGTATAAGTTTATCATAAGGAAATAGATATCACGCACTTACCCTAGTCCTTCAAAGCGTTCAGGGTGAAACAATCGATCCTATACGTAATTCATTTAGTATAAAACAATAAACCAACAAAAAGAACTTACAATTCTCTCACGTAAGTACGCTACGAGCTCGTGAGGCATGTAAACTTGGTTGGATTCCGATTGAACCAGTGCATCAGCCTCCCTTTTCATCTATTTATGTATGATAAGGTTAGATGAACAGCTGCTAATGGATCAACTTACTTTCAGACGAGTCATATGAGCATGCTTTAATACGATCCACCCATTGTCTTTATCCGCAAGATGTCCTCCATAATGAGATAGATTTAGCGCGAAATGTTTATGAAGTAGTTCTTTGCGATCAAAGTCTTCTTCATCATTGATAAGTGTGCAATAATCTCTAAGATACGCTGCTGATCTCAGTTGGAAATAAAGTCTTACGTCGCGTTCAATAATCTTCATTTGAGGCATAATCATACATTTAAAGAAACTGTCTAGACATTCTTGTGTTTTTATGCCAGTGAGAAATGAATAAATAAATGACTCCAAATTGATGATTTCTATGGCTTTTTCAGCTTCCATTCGCTTTTCGTCGTCCTTAAGTTTAAGTTTCTTCAAGACATTGCGAGGGTTCAGTAAGGATTCTCCTTTAAAACTTTTCATTCTTTGTTCTAAAGAATAAGATGAGACAAAGGACGTGTTAATACACAGTGAGCGTACCATATGATTTGTTGTGGTATTCTTCTGCTTTTTCTTTACAATCGTCTATATCCCAAAGGAATAGATTCAATAAGGTTGCGCTTGTTTCAGCAGATTGCTGAAGCCTTCTCATATGACTTTTTCCCATATTCCCATTCAAAAGAAAGTAAACCAAAAAAAAAAAAGAAATAAAAAAGGGGAAACGTGACTGACCCTTTTATTTGCGCTTGCACACTCTCACACGCTCGCTCAACAGCAGCCATACATTGTATTGGCATCATAAAAAAGTGACCCGAACGTAGAACTGATAAAGTTACGGAGATAAATATGATTTTCTTTAACCCTTGTTCTCTCTTTCTTTCTCTCTGTCTCTTTATGCACGCCAGGTACAACACGACAACAATAGGCGCTGAATTTCAATTTTTTCTTGTGTGCCTTTTCTCCTTAAAAGTTGACACCAACTGGAAGTGGGTGCTGTTGTGTTTACATTGATCACCTACACTTTTGTCCTTGTTTATTCATTCTCAGCTAATGGACGATGTCAGATATTTATGTTCGTCATCCCGTATATATTTGCATCATTTCCTCATTTATTGTAGTCAATCGACTTTTTACTGTTTTACAATTACATACGCGCAAATATCTTACCTCACCCTCCCAAAAGATGAGAAAGGATGTAACCTAAAGAAAGAAGCTTGAAGGAAAAGTAGAGACAATAACTAACTCTTGGTAAGTGTTGTACAGAAAAAAAGCGTCTCTTCTACGCATAGTGTATCTAACTTACCCAAATAGCTCTCGTGATAAGCAGGGTCAATGCCTTCCAGATGTCAGACAATTACTGATACGGCCCTGACTGATTTAAGGCTATAGTTACGTTCCTAGACTGGGTCATACCTGAGTACGATTTGCTGGCAACAATGTCAGTAAATTGATCTTTTCAGTTCCCAAGTGAAACTGCCGTTCATTAAGATGGCTGTAATGAAATTGCATGTACCAAATTGATAATATTTATTGCTCAGCTAACCGATTTGATTGTTTAGATGCTTATTGTATTATGAAGATTACTTGAAGGAGACCACAACGAGGAGTGGCACCGAATTAACGTTTATGGCGATACATTCGACCTGCTTTTTAACTCAAAAAATGGATACAAAACGAAAAGGTAAGAACGTATGACCTGTTTATTCAATGACATTCTTATTAAACTCAAGCTTTACAGGTCAGAATGTCATTCACAAACGATCAAAGCTTTGAAAGCGAATGATCTGATAGATATGGATGAGAAAGATATTCGATTGGGTTTCGTTTTCACGAACTTGGCTGGAATTGAACACGTGTTCTTCTGTGAAAGACAAACCTACAAGCAAAGTGTCGAACAAGGACAAGAGAAAGCACACTCCGTCACTGGTCTAATTTCCTGCCTTACCAAGAATGCATCCAGCATTTGTGCACTTTGTCATATCACTTCAACAAGCTAAATCTGCGCATAAGGGGAGGAAGATTATAAATGGGATAATTATTCATACTTGCTTAAAAGAAGTATCTATCCCTCTTTCTGATAATAATGGTGCTGGCATCGCTGAATATTTAGTCGCTGTCATTTCATTAGCTGTAAGTATAAAATGTCATTTAATATGTTCATTATATATTAATAACGGACTACTTTTCTACAGGGGATCGTCACTTGGGACTTTGAAGCCATCCAACTAATGCCGCAGACTGCACAGAAGAATAATATGGTATTTTGGTCAAGCCAACTATGCTAAGTACCTGTTACAGAGAGGATTCCTCTGCATCAGAAGGTAGCAGCATCTCCAGCACAGATTCCGCGCATCTTCCTCCGTAAGAGTGGATTGGGAAGAAGATGAAAAAAAAAAAAAAAATTGAGGATAACAAAAAAAATTCAGAGCAATATCACAGAGCTTGTCGAAAAGACCAATGACCAATATGTGTCTTCTTCCGGGGAAGATATTGTTTTTGGTAAGCAACATGAATAGAGTTGTGCTTTTCCTTTCTCGTTTGAATCAATTGGATTTGATTTATCAGGTTATGTAGCTTCAAGATTAAATGAAATTCAAAGTTATGTTTCTATTAAATAAAATTATGTTATGCGTTTATATAAATGAAGTTCCAAGAGCTCGTGTAATGTATATTACTCTTTAAATCAGTAATGTAATATTATAGGTTAATAATCAAGTACCGTAGTATTCCGAGTGACTAGTTAATATAATAGTAGTAGTGATGTAGCCTTGATTGACCAGAATTGTTTCTAAGAAAATATGAGAGGCAAAAGCTGAGACCAGATCTTTTCATTTTTTCAATTTTAGTCTAAGATGAAGCGATTTTCGCTCACATCAAAAAGCGTATAAATTACATTTGGTGTATAATTTGAATTCTTTTTTGCTCATTGACAATATTATGCATACTTATTCCTACTTGGATCTTTGTACCAGATTGGCTTATATAGTGGAGCGTATAAAGTAATATTGCTGTCAGGGAAATAAATATCATTCTCTCTTCATGCACATCAGATAAAGTTACACAACAGCAATAGATACTGAATTCCAATTTTTTTTCTTGTGTGCCCTCTCCTTCTTCTTTCCACTTTGTGACTGGAATGAACCCCAATTCGTACTTTACACCTAGTCCACAGCAGCAACAGTCTATGCCTCCATCGCCACAACAGACTACAGACAATGCGAATCGAAAAGCAAAGAGACATTACCCTCGGGTGGCCTATCCACAAACCATCCCTCAAGCACCTCAACCATTGGTTCAGCCATCAGTTCAACCATTGGCGCAACCATCAGTTCAACAACAGCAGCCATATCCGATATATAACTCACCAGTACCTCAAAGTACAACAGGCTACGACGCGGGTTATAATCAGGTAATGACAGGCATGGCAAACATGTCCATGTACAACAACAATCAGTCTGTTGCAAGAGAAGATGTGGCATTGATTGGACAGCCTCCGTTGATTGAAGATTTGCATCGTCCACCTCCTGTTGCTAATCTACCTTCCAATGTAAACTCATTAAGAACACTAAACACGTGTTATATATATAAATGACTCTTTGTTTCATCTCTAGATTTCAGTAACCAATTCAGGAGTATCCCAAGCTGATTCTCGCTTCATTCGCTCAACTGTCACTGCTTTCCCTTCTACAAGAGCATTACACAAAAAATCAAAGCTTCCTTTAGCTCTCGTGTTGGAACCCTATTTGAGCTCATCCGAAAAGGTAAAGTTGCTGTATCAAGAGTCGAGTGAACTAAGCATGTGTAGGTTCCTATTGTTCCTGATACAACCGTAGCCCGTTGTTCTCGGTGTAAAACTTACATTAACCCCTTTGTTCGCTTTACTGCCGGCGCCTTACAATGGACCTGTAATATGTGTGGTTTGGATAACGATGGTAAAAAACAAGAGAGGGGTTGTAAAGATCGATCTAATGAATATGTCTTTAGTACCACAGGAATTTGATTGGGATGTCATACAACAACAACATGTAGATCGCTATAGTCGACCCGAGTTGAATTATGGATGTGTGGACTTTATTGCACCAGCAGATTACATCATCCGACCACCACAACCACCAGCCTATGTCTTTGTGATTGATGTATGCTTTCAGGCTGTACAAACAGGCATGGTCAGTGTAGTTGCTGATGCTATTAAGGAATCCCTTGACAAAATTCCGAATGAAGACGGGCGTGCTCTGGTTGCCTTCATTACGGTAGATAATGCTATTGGGTTTTATAAGTTGCTCGGATCAGAACCAGAAGTACTCGTCGTTGGTGATCTACAAGATGTTTATTTGCCTCGTATGGCATCTGATTTGATTGTCAACCTTGTAGAAGCTAGAGGCGTTATAAATCAGTTACTGGACAAGATGAAAACAATGCATAACCAGTCTCACTCTCCCTCCAATTGCTTAGGACCAGCGTTGCAAGCGGCGCGTAAATTACTGGTAAATGCAAAAAAGAGAAAGAGAGAAAAACCTAATGCTTTCATGTAGTCACCTACAGGAGGCAAAATCATTTGCTTTCAAGCAAGTTTGCCTAATATTGGAGAAGGCGTGATCAAGCCCAAGGCCGACAGCACCAAGTCAGCCTTGGACAGCCCCTTGACAACCGCATCCAGTACATTCTACAAGATCTTTGCAGGAGAATGCACCAAATCTCAAGTATGTGCGGATATGTTTGTCTTTGGCAACCAGTTTGCGGATGTAGCTACTCTAAGTAATATTATATATACACCTAACCAAAGCAAAAAGTATTTATCCTCTATTTTATAGATGTCATACCCCGATTCACCGGTGGACAGACGCATTTTTATCCTGGTTTCCAGGCTGGTAATCAGGCAGAAAGTGTTCGATTAAAGGAAGAAGTGATTTCTCTTTTATCTGAAAAGATTGGATTAGAAGCTGTCATGCGTACACGTTGCTCAGAGGGTATCATTTGTAAATCATTCCATGGTAACTTTACCACCCGTGTACCTGATATCATGGCGCTACCCAACGTGCCTCGTGATCAATCTTACTGCGTCGAATTAGGTATGGAAGAAGACATTCAGTCATCTTATGTCTATTTCCAAACCGCGTTGCTTTATACCACGTACAATGGAGAACGCCGTATTCGTGTATTGAACTTGTGCCTTCCTGTGGCAAAGAGTGTAAGCGAACTGTACTTGTCTGTGGATCAAGTTGTTCTTGCTCGCGCTTTATGTCATGAAGGTAAAGAATAGTCCTCCTCGATAAAATGACACGTTATTTAACTAGAGAGTATATATAGCTATTGATAAAGGAGCCAACGGTAAACTACGCGATGCCAGAGACTATTTGTCAAAACAGACAATAGATATTTGTATGGCCTATACAAAAGAAGTACTAGGCGTGCAAGGCGCACCATCTCATTTGACACTATGTCGTCAGTTAAGCCTGTTCCCACTTCTTGTGCTAGGATTGCTTAAATCTGTAAGTGGCATAACTGTTACAATTCTAGCAGTACTAATGTATATTTTAGGACGCATTCAATGATGCAGCCATTATTCCTCCTGATATGCGTACTCAGTCTGCTATACTATTACGCACCATTCCCATCGAAGCATGGTTACGTCTAGTTCACCCCAACTTTTATTCCATTCACAACATGCCTCAGCTGGTAAAAAGCAAAAAAAAAAAAAAAGAAAAAGAAAACTAATACTAAATAACCATAGGCAGGAACCTTAGACGGAAACACAGGCAAACTTGTTTTTCCACCCAATGCCAATTTATCTAGTGAAAAGTTAGAACCCCATGGCTGCTACTTGTTAGAAGATGGACAAAACATATTCATATGGATTGGAAAGCAAGCCGTTCCTCAGCTATGTAAAGACTTGCTAGGCGTTTCTACTATACAAGAAGTGAAGTCTGGTCAGGTAAATTAAATATATGTGTATTGAAAAAAAACTCCTGCTAATAATACATGTGTAGGTGGCTATTTTACCACACATAAAATCACCTATATCTGATAGATTAAACAATATGATTCATTGGCTAAGAACCAAACGACAAATCACATACTATCCTTCAATTTACATTGTTAGAGAAGATGACGATCCAATGCTACGTAGCAAGTTTCTGAGTCATTTATTAGAAGACCGTCAACCTACTGGGCCAACAAATGCAGGAGCAAATCAACAGACAGCAAGCTCAGGTATGAGCTATTTCCAATGGCTAGGATTTATTAGATCAAAATGTCAATAAAGGACAATTTTATTCATAAAACACTCTTTTGTATATGCATGCCAGACTCTCTTTAAAGAAATAACATTGACACGTATATATTTTCTACACTTTATTATTCCGTAGCCATCATCAACTTGATCTTAGCGATAGCAGTACCAGGCTGCAATCCCTTGGGACAAGTCTTGGAACAGTTCATGATGGTGTGGCAACGGTAAAGAGACATCTTATTTTGAAGCTTTTCACGACGCTCAGCACCAAATTGGTCACGAGAGTCAATCATCCAACGATAAGCTTGCATCAAGACGGCAGGACCGAGGTATTCTTCCTGGTTCCACCAGTAAGAAGGACAGGAAGTGGAGCAACAGGCGCAAAGAATACACTCGTACAAACCATCCAACTTCTTTCTGTCTTCAATAGATTGCAAATTTTCTTTTCCGTCAGTGACAGGTGTCTTTTGCTTGAGATAAGGTTCGATGCTCTTGTATTGTTTGTAAAAGTGAGTCAAGTCGGGTACTAAATCCTTTACAATGTTCACTATAAACACATCGTTTAGATAGAGTCATCTACAACATACAGTACTTACTGTGAGGAAGAGGGTAAATCTTGGTGGTCTTTGATGTATCACGGTCGATCTTGGAAATACAAGCCAATGTGTTTCCACCTTCGATGTTCATAGCACAAGAACCACAGATACCTTCACGACAGGAACGACGGAAAGTCAAGGTAGAGTCTTGCTCATTTTTGATTTTGATAAGGGCATCCAAAATCATAGGGCCACAAGAGTTCAAATCAACCTTGTAAGTCTTCAACTCGGGCTTTTCAGTGGGCTTGTCAGGGTTCTAGTGAACGAAGGTTAATGAGTTGCAATTACATTTATCTATTTTCTCTCTCTTACCCAACGGTAAATTTCAAAAGTCTTGTAATTAGGCTGCTTGGTATCAGCAGAAGCCATCATGTTGGAAGAGCTTGTGTTGAAAGAACGAGCTAAAGGCTAAAATGCATGTTAATGTTGTCGAGGGGTAATCATTATGTTTTATCTTACAGCAGCGACAGGAACCCAGCGCTTGTTGATGGAAGTCTTCAAGGTTTGCAAAGCAATAGACATGGCTTTCCTTTTAATACTGAAAAGAGTAGGGAAAAGAGTGGGGAGTTTATTAGTAAAAAGAAATAAAAAGAAGTATTCAAAATAAAATGCGGGGAAAAAACTTTAGGAACGGATGATGAAGGGCAATAAGGAACGGCCAAACCAGGGGGGTGAGAGCGGAGGGACCGGGTTACTTTTTTTTTTTTCCTCAAAAGGGAAATAACTTCCAACGATCAAGCTCATTACTGCGCACAATGCATTGTAGCTATTTATTACTATTTGTAGGTATTTTAAATAAAATACAGTGCTTCCATTCTCATTTTACCGATAGTTTGAAAACTCTACTCGCTTTTTTGGGAAAATAAATTAACCACTTTTCACAAACACTGGTTAAACAATTTACTTTATTTCTTTAAACCCTAGTGGGGCAAGTTCAAAAATTGTTCTTGGGATTTATGGGTGATGGGCGAAAGGAGAGCTGTGGTGAGTGAAAAGGATACTAATCTAATAGAGCATATATACTGAAATTGTAGATCCTAAGCAATATTTTTATTGGCCAATTAAATTGGGCTTGTTGCGTGAATGCTGTTGTTATATTTGTTTGCATAAAATAGTCGAAGCTGAAGAGAAAAAACATGCTGTTCTCTTCTTGTAATACAGAATAATGATACACCATAGTGACTATTAGTCATTTCTCAAGAGGTAGATACAACAAAGGCAAAGCAATAGAATCGGTCCATTAGCGATCGTAATGGTCATTATGTCTAGTAGTGTTCGCTTGAAAGCTAGCATCGCCTTTTCAAGTTACAGATTCTAAGTTATGCAAACCACACAAAGAAAACTGTAAGGAAGAGCCACAAGTACTATCCATCAATCGTTTCACACAGAACTAGTTTCTACGCCTAAGCAAATGTGCTATGATACTCGCGCCTTAGACCTAGGAGTATCCATGGGACGCTGAACAGTAGAAGTAGCAATGATTAGCTGTTTTAATACTTGTAAAAGATTTATTCAGCAAATAAAAATGCCAAACTCAAAAACGCCAACGCTACATGCACCAAAAAATAGACTAATGACACGAACGCTTCTTATTCTAGGCACTACGTGCAAAGCTCTCCAGTGAGATTTTCACGTGATTGATCTTGGTTCTTTGTTGATCTTTTTATCTCTTTCTTCTTTAAAAGAAATAAACTAAGATGGTGAAAAGTTTTGTTGGGTGACATCATAGGTAATGTGTAGAGGTATCGTCCGTAGTTTTAATCTAATTTTTGTTGTATTTTCTGGTGAATGAGTGCTTCCCTTTGACCAAATTGTAAATAAACAGATTATATTTACTGCTGCCTCTCAGATTTCTGAGATGTCGCTCCTCGTAAAGTTCTGGGGCCCAGTAACAGGATTATTCTTTGATCCAAGTCAGTATCTTGTTCAGTGGTAAGTGATAAGCCGTATTCATAGATAAGGATGTGCACGCTAATAAAAGCTACAGAGATGATATCACGTCTGCTTGCTTATCTTTGTCGAATCTGCATTTCAACTTGGATTTTTAAGTCATTATTAAAGATGTCAATGCTGAAGCCTTAGACACTTTGACTGAAGAACTTGCTCGACAGTTTGCAATAACATTTGGCAAAGTCTATTTCGATTTTCCTAAGTCTGCTCTTACAACCAAGGCTCGCTTGAACGCTGCTCTGAAGTGCATGCCATATATTCCAGCATCTGCTATTCATCTTGCTTTTTTTTTTTCTTCTTTGGTTCAAACAATGGGTTTATCTTGTATAGTATACGGTATGAATATCATTGACAAGGAGGTATACACAGTGCAAAGATTATCTTCATTCAATTACGCAAGTAAAAATCGTGAACTTAAGAGCGGCGCAGTGAAGGCACTGCTAGATGGACTTACTTTGGTTGAGGCAAGTGAGACCAGTTAAAACTGTCCTAGTTACGCTTTTAGAGAATGTCTACTTAATTTTTGCTTTGGCTTCTCTTCTGGTCTTTTTCAGTAAGGCAACGAACTATGACATGAACAATATAACAACGGGAGAAAAAAAAAAAAAACTTATCAAAGGAAAAGACAATCAATATTGATGAATATATATCTATTGTAAGATCGTACTCTGATTCTGATTTTCCGGTCGAACCAGACGAACAAGAGGATATAGATAGTACTGGAGAAGACGTATAATTTTAAGACAAAAGTATTAAAGATTTTTTGGTTCTTTGCCCTCTCAAACGCCCAATATGACAATCTTTCCTGCAACATTATTATGTCAATAATCGCCCACACCTTGCACATATGCTCACTATATTACGTATTCTAAAACCATCTCGCTTCGTCAATCTCTCGCAAGTTCAGCCCATGGTCACTATTGTCTCGACTACATTATGGCTATTATGGTCCTCGCACTGGCAATCAGTTATTCAGAACACTCCTTCCCTTCCTCCCTATTGCTAAAAATTGTCTCGCAAGTATCGATACTCTTAAATGAGCATCTATTGCTTGAATAGCTAGATTTATTTACCTTTCTCCTTTTTCCTATGCTCTATGTACGCTTTTTACATTTTACAATAATATATAACGAAAATAAAGTTAACTCTATCCTGTCTCTATTCAAGCGAGTACTTACAGTTAGATTTGCAGAACATTGTGTTTCTAATATATCCTTCGATTAGAAGCTGATGTCTCATATGAAATAACAAGAGCTGGAGGTGTTTAATACCGATTCAAGTCCAACAGCTTATTCAGATTAGTTCAAATAGGAAATCTACGGATAAAATTAATTATTCACGTGCAAAAGATGTTATGATAAAAGCGAATTCTTATGTATAAATCGTATTATAAAAAATGCAATCATTTGTACTACTGGTAACATTATTTTTATGGTCAAGGCTCTAGCTCTTGAGACTTACGCAGAATATGCGTTTAACATGCCTTTTGAACCAAAATGATATTGCATTTGCAAGATTTATAGCAGACATGTCATATAAACATACGCTTCCTCTATCTCCTGCTGACCTCTCTTCCTCTTCTCAACGGAAGCGGATCATTACGTTCGAAAATGGCTCTTTTTGTTCAAGTATGAAAGGAAAACGAACTGCACCTACTAGATGTATTACCGAAGAAATCAAACGAAAATGCAAACAATCCAACGGGGATACCAAATTTGTTTATGTTGACGAGTACTTAACGAGTCAGATCTGTAATAAATGCAAATCTCAACAATTAAATAATATCTTCATTGTTAGATCAAAGCGAAGAGTACACTCTGCCCTCAAGTGTGATTCTTGTGGTACGGTTTGGAATCGCGATGTGAACAGTGCATTAAATATATATGGTATCTTTACAAATCAAAACACGACAATGAAAGTCCTCCTCCCATCAAAAGACCTTCAAAAGACTAACGGTGCTCTTGGATTTAATGCGCTATCTATAACTGAAGTGCGTTCCTTAACGTCTCGGTAAGTATAAAATGAATAATACATTATTTTTTATTCATTAGTCTTCTAGTTAATAGATTATAAGCTATAATATAATAAAAATGCATTATCTATATTTTTTTCTACTGTTGATCTTGCTTTGCATCAAGTTCATCTTTGACCAATCGGCCCTGTTTTTCCTCTTCATTACGACCCAACGTCCAGATCTGATCGTAGAGCTTAAACTCAATCGTCTTGGGGTCTTTGATCTCATAAAACTCGCCATCACACATAATACATATCACATTTCTCTTTTCGTACTTGTGTCGTGCTTTATCCTTGATCATCGCTTGAGCCTTCTTTGTCCAACTGGTCTTTTTCATTTTTGCAAGCTCGCTTTCATGCACCTCGGGTGGCCTAAACTGGATGGCGAAGGGCGTTTCAAATTGACCAATACGAGATACATGGTTGCGGATATTGGCCAATTTCTTCAAATAACTCACCATGTTTTCAATGGTCATGACTTCTAAACGACCATCATTGGCTCGCTGAGGTAGCCAGTTGGCAGGGTCTGTAGGACCAGATCTGTTGACGACTGATTCTAATCCAGACTGCGCCTCTCCCCAAAGATCAACCTCACGTCCCCTAAGTAAGTGGATTTAATATTGTAGATTTTTTTCCTAGTTACACTATTACCATATATGTGGTATATTTTGAACTACAAAATCAATCGGACAATTTACCATCTCAGGTACATCACTTGATTTTTTCTTGTCTTTTTTTTCATCTGGTAACGGACAGTCCAGGAGGACTTGGTTTCCTTGATTAATAGACTGAATGAACTGATTCACATCAGGAAATCTTCTCCAAAACACCCATTTGGAACTCTCTTGTGCATAAACAAACATATTTGCCAACCGATTGCCTGCGCGATGTGCCTCAAATCCATTACCGACGTAGCCCTGAACACCGATAGACATATAGTTGCTCATCTTGCGCACCATCTCGTTTCGTTCCTGATTGCGCGCCTTCACTTCAGCCACGTCATGGCCATCACGACGTTCCTTGGGCCCTGCTTCACGCACATAGCCAGAAGGGTATGAAGTCATTGTGACCTGCCATATATCTAGTCTTGCCGCTTCTGATTTTTCGAGTCGATCCGCGATCAAATCTTCAAGGGCATGTAACTTGTAACCAACGACATTCTTTTTCGGAATGGTACGGCCCCAGCCGAGCACTTGACTAAAGTCGTTACCTGTGCCAAAAGGTATACCTACAAAAAGAGTCAACGTCATATCCTCATGATAAATGACAGTAACTTACATGAAAAAAAGATCAGGTCAAGATTAATCTTGTGCGAAACAAGCAACTCAAAAACACTCATCACAGTGCCATCTCCACCTGCGCTCCAAACATGAATTTGCCTCGATTGTGCAGCACGAGAGAGTTGACCGACATCTAGATAAACGTAAACACATGGGTTCAAAAGGTTTGAGCATGTCCTTTTATATATTACCTGCGTTAGTGTCCATCTTTGTCGTATCTTCAGCTACAGGTGGTACTTTACCATAGGCTACCATCGATTGAACCAATCGAATGTTCTCTATACCGAGATTTCGATCCTTATCGTTCAAGATGTTGTGGATCTCGACTTGGGCTTGAGGAAATCGACGCAGTCTGAAATGCTGAATAGGCAAGTCCACCAAGTCGCCTCCCTTTTGGTCGCCCGAGAGTGGATTGACAAAGATAAACAAGTAGATCGTTGGTTTGCCTTCTTTGTCTGTATCTTGAAAGTCCACTGAGCTCGCCATTTTGTCTACCTTCGGCCTCTTTTCAGCATGATCTTGCATCATGATGGATGGGTGATCTATCTTTTCGTTTAATAAAAATGATGAAACATTGGGTTCGTTACCTTGTGTTGATATTGCATCTATTGTATTTGTCATTGCCTTGTGGTATCTGGTGGATGAGAAAAATATAAAGGGAAAAAGAAAAAGAAGAAAGGATAATGTTGGATAAAATTATGTAAAAAGGTCTGTGGAAGAAACACTGACATCATAGTGATCCTGTTATTATTCTCCTGAAGTTGAAACTCACCAAAAGAGGAAAATTGCATTATATATGTATAAAAAAAAGTGGTACAATAATATGGTTTTATTGAGACGTCAATGTTTGGATCGATTTACGGCGTTCTTCACTGTGTTCTGCATCCAACAGTTTGGTCACGATAACAGTGCATGGCGCATTATGTATGATATAATCACTCACACTTCCCAATATGGTTCTGAAAACATTTGTTAATATACATGTATTTTTTTGTTTTTTTGTTCTTGATTTTACCTCTTGATAGCACCCATCTTTCTAGCGCCCATCAAGACGACATCTGCCTTTATCTCTTTACTTTTTCGCAACAACTCGGATTTTGGATCTCCTACCATTGATATGGCCTTGCAAGCAATCTGACAAAGAAAAAGTCAGAAAAGGACATGGTTTCCGTGTGTACAAAACCTTTACCTTTCTTTTATGCAAATCAGAAGCATAATATCTCAATAGATTATGACTTTCTTGTCTTCTCTCTTCAGCCATATCATCCATATAACTGCTTGTATTGATATATGGTGCAACGGGTATATCAATTTGACGAACATGAACCAGTACGACCTTTCACATGTTGATATGCATATACACACACTCTATCTTTTAACTTACCAAATCCTTTTGCGGAACGATAAAGTTATCTAATGCCCAGTCAAAAGTGACCTGAGCTGATACAGGGTCAAGACAGACCATGACCACACGAGTTAATTCTCGATCATGTTCTTCATGATGAATCAAGGTGTCCTTTTTGGTAAGTGGAGGCAAGTTTTCAGTTCCGGAAGTATCAGACATGTTTTATGATAAAGTGAGAATAAAAAGAAAAAGAATAAAAAAAAGCTTAAATGGGTTGCATGATATTTATCGGATGTTCAAAAATCAAACGATGTTTTTTATTTTTCATGCGCCAATATTATCCAAATCCCTTTTGACGGATCTTGGTGAAGGTTGATGAGGTACAGTATGTCCAAAGCCTTCTTTGGATTCAGATCGCTCAGGTCTCTTTCTTTGCTTTGTTGACTTGCTCTGTGGTTTTGTCTCTTCTTCTTCATTAGACCATTCACGATCTACGGTACCATAGCCAGTAGAATAAAGTTCGGGATGTTCTCTTGATTCTTTGCTACGATTCCAAGCATCTTGTCCGATTGGATAATGCTCTGTCGTATATGTTTGTCAATTACGCCACTCTTTTGTATATTTTTATATATATACCAGTATTCACGTTTTTATTGGTTGAATCGTTCATATGTAAAGATGTATGTAATATATGAACTATGTACAATTTATCACAAGAAAAAGAGAAAAAAGAACCATCTGAGGTAGAATTTATACAAGTCTCACTTGACCTAAGCTTAGAAAATCTGACATCAATATAACGTAACATGTAAAGATCACCCTTTTCTAACCCCAGCATTTCGCTGTGAGTGAAAAAAAGTCAATATGACATATTCCCAGTCCTTATCCAGCCGTTTGTATATTCACTCGATCAGCCAGGACAGACGCAACTAAATTAGGTTGAACAACTAGACAATGTAAGTTCCACTTGAACCTCTTGAGCCTTCATACACACTTAAATGCTTCCTTCCGGGATTTCTCCCGTTGTAATCAACAGTAAAATAAGCACATCCATAAGCTAGATCCCTGGCGATGACCCCTTTGACAACATGGTGTTGTTGACAAATGAATTCGAATCGTAATCAACTACAAGTAAATTCATTAAGTATATAGATCCAAGTTATGTAGTAGACTTTCAAATCATTGACTATAAATACTCTTTTAACGGGAGCTTTATATCATCGAATAAAAGAGTCCTAAAAGTATTGACCTATCTTTTTGATAATATAAAACATCTTCATCTCGTCTTTGCTGAGAAGCAGGCAATTGTTGAAGAAAGGCTGCGTATCCATGTGCTTCAGTACGCTCCTGATACCTATACACATATTTTTCATATTCTTCAATACCATCTTTTCGTGATCTCCCTCTTTTTACTTTTGAGCATAAATGTATCCAGATTCTGATAGTATTTCATGTACACCAGGTTGCCGTAATAAATGTAACGAAAACTTTTATTATTATTTTTTCCTTGTATGTCTTTTATCAGTGATGCGTAAAGTACATAAATAATAACCACAGTTTCATTCAGTTCAGTTCCGTCTTTTCCCTTCTTTTTTCTTACTGTCGCATCGGCATTAACACTATAGTGAATACACGCTGAGAATGGTATAAATGCAACTCGGACGCTCAATTAAATATTGGATTTATTCTTTTGATGTGCTAATTCTATTGTTGATTACAGCATAAATAAAGATTTAGTCTGTGATACTTATAACATTTATTATTATATACATTGAGACATTTGCACGAATTTCCGGTGAACTCGATATTTTTTGACAGTTTACTGACCTCCCTACGACACTTCATTCAACTTTACATACAAAAAGGATAAAATTAAAGGACTTTATCTTATTAAGAAGTAGGCGATGCCCCTTTACCTATCCATAGGCTATAGAAATACAAAAAAGATGATTGCGCATAGTTATGGAAAGAAAGGGCGTATACTCTAATATTAAAGAGCAGCATGTACTTATGGCTTCATGAAATTGTAGTCTTCGTCTTTTTTTTTTTTTTTTTTTACAACAAAACCATTGCACACTCCATAAGCACAAAAAATGAACAGCATCCACAAACTATTTGTGTTCTCAGTAGCAAAAGGTTAAAAGAAAATTGGATAGCCCCTTTTCATAAGTCTTTACGTCTTTCAAATCTTTTTTTTTTTTTACAACAAAACCAGCAGGGACCCTGTTTTACTGACTCCCAACCTTCATTGCATTTGGGATCATAAGTAAAGCAAACACGAAGGCAGAATCAAAACTTGTCATCGATTATATCAGAATGGCAGTTACGGCTTTGGTAAAAGTCTACTAAGCGGTAGACTTCAACAGTAGATGTGACCATAAAAGAGCGAAGAGCAAAGATAACAGCAGAAATAACCTTCATTTTTCAACTAGTGTATGATAAAGAGAGAGGTAAAGAAAATGGATGAGAATGAATTGCGAGCCCCTATTTATACTTGAAAAGCATGGATGTATTTATCTGACATCCATGTAGACCAACTAACCAAAAATTTCCATCATAGCCTTATATATGCTCACGAAACATAGCATAATTTATCGAAAGGGAACGCATTGCATGGATACTATAATCTTAAAGAAGGTCAATATATATAGTAAGCGTAAGGAGTGGTTGACGAAGGTGTGTAGACGGGTTAAGATGAATGTCTGAACCATCTTTAAGAGGAGCAGCAAGGGTGTATCCATAAGTGCCACATAATTCATTCTAGACTATAATAAACCTAAGGCGTTCTGCTGACATCTCCATACTCAGAAAAATTCCTTTATAATAAGATCAAATACTAAAAGGTTGAGGATGCAGTAAAACTGAACTATTCTTTTATTACTAAGAGTAGTTCTTATAATACTTTAAAATTACTGAGGTTATAGCTGATGAGGGTGAAGATAGCTATTTTGGGATTATGAAATTTAATTTCGTGACACTTGAAGCAAGAGATGATGATATGTATTTCTTTTGCCAGTGTAAAGGGAATTGTATTAGTTTCAATATACATCAAGTTCTGTTCGGAAACGTCATCCTTCTTCAAAAGTGCAAGAGCATGCACTGTAGGAAAATTTACAGCCTTCACTTACGAATTAATTTTACAATTGAAAGATCAAGTTTCGATATTGCTGAAGCAAAGTGAGAATTATCTCATTACCCGTCAAGAGCTTCATAATAGCTTCATACTCCACTGTGAACCTTGCCGTGTATCTTGTTTGCCTGTCGAACCTCTTCTTGAAAACTGACACCAATGTCATCAGTTTGAATAATGCCACGGAATCTAAGTTGTCCATCTTCTTGCGGCTTGAGGGCATTTGAATCAAGGTCGACAACTCGGCGCCAGTAGTCCAGTTTATCGACAGCATTAGACCATCGAATTCCCAGAATGTTTTGGCAGAAAATCTTACTGTCGATGGTAACGTAACAAAGAGACTATGAGCGCCGGAGAGGAAAACAATTGAAGACGGTCCAACGATGATGTTCAAAGAGACGAGAAAGCTGATAGAAGGCCTTAAAGTGACCACAGCAGGCAGTCCTTTCTTTGACCAGGTCATACTACGTTTTAAATTAATATGAAATGTAGACTCATCGAGAAAGACGCAATTAGTTCTAAAGTCCATGTCCGTACACTCCCACTTACGAACCCAGTCGAAATGCTCCTGTACTTTTTCCTCATTCTTCCTATCTACAGGCTAAAATCGGGCTTTTTTGGATGACAAGTTATATTCAGTCCTTACAAAAGTGTAGACAGCGCTTCTAGAGACCTTGAGATCCTGAAACTTTTGAGGTAGTCGCTCCAATACTTGCTCCAAGACGGCTGAAGGATTCTCATCTATGTACTCCAAGATAACTCACCTATGTTCTTCATGAAGTATACGCGAATGACCGGTTATCTCATGCTTTATAAAAATACTATCAGGATCCGTTTTGTACATTTGAGCCCATCTTTGAGCTGTGCGAACATGAATACCTAATTGTTTCGCAGCAGCTGAAGCACTCATAACTTTCTCAAACATCAGTTTAAAGAATCTAACTTTGTCTTGATCCGTATAGAGTGTGTACGCTCGCTTACTCGACGCCTCCTTCATGCAAACATCTGGGTCATCTTTTGCATTTTCATCTGCCACAGAGCCTACATCGAAATTATTCTCTTGAGGCTGATTATACAAATACTGAGTGTGTGAACTAACTGCTTCTAAAGCATATCGCTCTTCATCAATGATGTAGTCCATAGGCTCAGGTCTACCGTAATGATCAACTGCATTACCGTGCCTGTCTTCATAGAAAATTTGAAAGCTCATTTTGTAATACTTGGTTTTTAATGAGAAAGGGAAAAAAGAGAGCTGACGGTGCTTTCATGCTTAATACATGGTGGTAAACATTCAATTCCAGGACTAACGTCAGCATCTTTTTTATTTATGAGTATATGAATTTTTTTCTTTGTCTTTTGGTTTTTTTTATCGTGACTTCAAGGCCCTGTAATCCTTCATAAATCCTGTTGACATTGGCTGTTATTGCAACTGTTCATTAGTACCGCATGTCTTTGTTTCCATAGCTTAGACGTTTGAACTACAGTTTTTAACTCCAACCTGGTTGATGGTAATAATTTGCCCTAAGCATCTTTCGTTACCTTTCCCTATGGGTGGAGATGTTACTAGCTGGCGGTTGCTTTATTGTAAAGTGTAAAGCTTGGTCAATCACGTTCTGCAATCATACACGGAAATCACATGCCGATGAGACAATATATTAACATATGGGAAGTATCATTTGCGTCATAAAGATTTAAATTTCTAACTTTTTTCAATTTTCTGTCTAATACAGGCGTTTGTTTACTCAATGGACCTGTTCTACGGGGAATCATTTCATGCACACTGGCCCACTTGCTGCCAGGAATCTTGATCAGAACTAGTTTGCTGCTGCTGTCGATATAACGCTGTTTGAAAAATAACAAAAGTCTTTCTGTCCTTCTATTTCCGCTTGGAGTTCTTCCTCTTCAGGTTTTCGATCGAATATCAACAACTTGTATGTCTTAAATTAAATGAATGCAAACTCCAACACCTTTCCGTCGATTTTTTCAAACGTTTATCTAAAAGTCAAGCCTGGAGCCACGAGCTCCTTTCAAAATGCTGTATTCTTTATCATGGTGCCAAGATTTACGGTATTTACGAGATGAATTAATTGCTCTTCGTTCCATTACATGCACTCTGAGCAACAGCTTTTGGTTTATTTAATCATTTCATTGCTTCCAATTTTTTGTTTTAATTAATAAAAAAGCTGCTTTCGTACCGTATACTGTATAGCATAAGTAATGTACTAAAATGATTTAATTTATTGTATATGCCAAAGTGTCTATTACGCTAATTGTTGGGAGCATTTTATTTGTTTGTTCTATGGCTGATTCCATTGATTATTAGGCCGTATAGTCTTTTTTCATTACTTACATATTTAACTATTTTTTGAATCTTTCGCGTATCTCTAAATAATATACTATACGATTTTATGTAAAAATCACTGGATAAGTGTACTAGTCATTGTATTTATCCATTCATTTTATTCGGGTTTTTGTAATGAATATGACTAAAAGTTCTCGAGTGGATGTTGAACCAGCCATCATTTCTTCTAACTCAACCAAATTCGTCTGCATCTTCGTCTTCAAATCTATCGCTCTCCGCTCCTGATCTAGTGTCTTCTTCAGATTCACTGTAATATGCTACTCTTCCAAACAAATTGAAAGGCAGTTGCGATTTGGCTTGTTGCTGACGGGGTGGGGAGTACCAGGTCGGTCTCATCCATTCTGATCTTTCATGGCCGTCAATTAATGGCCATGCTCTATTGAACGTAAAACCCATGGAGCTCCTTATGTCAATAGCATATTTTTCTAATTTTGACTACAAAAATTATAGGGAAAGCCAGCTTGCCATACTTTTTATTAGTTTTTTTATACATTGCTTACCACAAATAATAGCATAGAGCTGAAAGTGTCCAGAAAATTGCCCATTGTTGCAATACTTGTAGGGAGCTTCAGCTTCCCCTGTGGTATAGCCACATACAAATCATTAAAAGCTAAGTGAACAGATGCTATTTCACCTTGGAGACCACAAATTTGCACAAACCACGCAGACAACGACTTCGCAGTATTATCTTCCATTGTGATATTTAGAAGACCATCTAATACATCTTTTGATTCTCTAATAACTTTTCCGAGGTCACTCAAAAGTTTATCATCACCGTTTGTCTTGGCTGCTTCACCAGCACCGATATCGTATTCATTTTTTGTGTCGTAAATGAATCTTGTCAATTTTAAGCCCCTTTAACGATTTGCTTAATTCATATTGCTCTTTCTTGTTTTCGGTGCTGATGCTATTTATGCTCTCTCCACTACATATATACGGTATCAGTATGCTTATAATAGCGTTTTATTAAGCTTCAGATGAAAACCTTTTCAATCTAATTGTCGAACCGTTCATTGCCAAGATTGAGTCAAACAAAGGACTCCAAACTTTTCCTAAATAGTCGTATTCAGTAAAACGACTAGCGTATTTCTTCTCCAATAGCCTTGGATTGTCTTCCATTATATTCAAGCTAGTAAAAAAAAAAAGTAAAAGTATTAGACATATGTGCGCAAGCTCACTGTTTGTTATAGACTCTTTACCAAACTTGTAAGACACGTAAGTATTTTAAAAAAGGTTTGTACTCTGGTGCTTCCTCTAGTTTTGTGATGTATTTTTTTCCAAGTTTGAATCCATTGTCTCGTTGTGATAGCTTTATTACAGTGAAAAGAAATGGTTTAGTAAGCTTTCTTTTTAATTCATTAATTAATAAAAAACCACTATCAATTTACCGATGTGATGATTTTCCAGGTAGTAGCTACCGCTTGAGGGACATGACATTTTTTGTTGCTGGCGTATTTGGTCATCAGCGTACTCTTTATCTCTTGCCATTCCTGTTGCTCAAAATTACAGGCTTGTCCTTTATCTGTCAAATCTATCAAATCCAAAGTAGACGATAGCCCCGTGCTATATAATTATTTAGCTGATCGTATGAAATTAATTCAAATACCAGTTTATAATGCCTACCTCGTGTTTTTTCTTTCAGAGCTATTTAACCTAATTCCTTTTTTGAATAGCTCGTATTTCAATAAAGCATCATGCTTGATAACTGTTCCTACAGAGATTCTCTTACGTCTATTGCCGCTATCAACTTTAGCATAAAAACAATCACGCTCTCTCTAAAAAATAGAACATTGGTTAGCTCAATAAGGAAAATACAGCTGAAAGTGACATACTACCTTTCCAAAAAAAAAATTAGTTTCCGTATCTGGTATATTAGGGCCTTCGTTGCAATGCAACAGTGGTTCATATTCGTGTTCAACTGCTTCTTGTTGGCTTTTAATAAGATCAGTTTCTCTCTCGCTGTTAACTGAGTCTATTTCGTAACCTTCTTCCCTTCTTTCAGTTGAAATTTCTTTATCAAATGTGTTTGAATATTCTCTGCCGCCAATGATTGCTAATCGAATTCCATTATTGTAGCCCTCTTGACGCGCTTGAATACCTAAAGCCTGTCTTTCCAATTCATGTAGTTTGCTTGCAAATCTTTTTTTGAAATGCTTTTTATTTTGGTTTTCTTTGAGAAAACTTAGAAGATCAGTACAGTAAGAGTGAAGAGCTAAATGTTTGCGCCTTTTCTTGCAAATTGTTTTTAAAGAGTTGCATATTTGTGAAAATGCTTTATCTGCGTCAACTATATCACTTTCATGTTTCTCTACATAAGAACTGATTAGCTGATTTATGTCACTCCAATTTACAGCTGGTAATGAGGAGAAAATCGAATTAATTTTCAAAATGTTACAAGTATTTCTGTCAAGAGTGAAATCAGACTTAAGACCGTGTAAAACTGGCTTTTTGCTCATTTTGAGAAACTGGTTGAATTTTGAAAGCGAAGAGAGAGGAGGCAAAATTTATAGTTTGTCGTTCCACTCTACCTCCTAATGCGGTAGATACACTCTGAGTCTATTTTCCTTTCATATAGTTTTCTTAGTAGTCTAATCTTATCTCTTTTATGATATGTTTTAGTCGATGTCTAAGCCATACGATCTTTGCTCTCATATGCTATATATGTACATATAAATATAGAATAATTATGCCTCATCCTTCAAGGCTAATATATATAATAATAATCCGTTAATTATTAGTAGTTTCTTGTTTTATTATTTTTCCTCTGGTTCTTCAAAGATCTTCACGATCAAATACTGTATAGCTCATATTGCCACGGATACATGCACTAAATTAGTTGTTAGGATTGATAAATCCTTCTCTGAAATGCGGTTAAACGGTTCTTTTTTTGCTCTATTTTGTTCTGGCCTCTCCCATTGTAGAAAGATCCCCATAGTAATTGCCATCAACTATCATATGCCAGCTGTTATGCATTTTGTTACACGAGTTCCCATGGGTACAGCAGCTCTCCTTTTTTTTTTAGTTTATTCTTTCCTTTCTCTTTACAAGCTACAAAGCACACCTCAAGGATAATTTAGAAAAGATCAACATTAAGTAAATAAAAGTAAAGAGAGTGAGTAAGTCAGCATCTTTTTTACTATTCATCCCTTGTTGCGTGCAGTAACACTCCAATAGAAAAGGGTCTCAAAAGTTGCACAAGGTTATTCCTAGGGTATAGGGAAGCAGGTAACCTTTTTTTCTAAAAAAGGACCTTTGCTAATTTACTCTTATCTGCTGACCAAAATGATGGCGTAAAATAAATAATTGATACAGTGAAGCTATAGAATTTGGCGTTTTCTAAAAAATGAATGACGGAATCTCAAATTTAATTTGCCAAAATAGAAATGATTAACTGAAATAAAAAAATATTTGTCCCTTTGGCTGTGGGCAAATGTCCATAAGTGTTAGCTAAACTTGACGCAAAAGTAAGGGCTTTGCTATTTACACTCCAGTTCATACATCGATAGTAAAGTAGTGACGTAGTAACTTGAACTAGCTACGTAGGCAGTTTAGTTGTGGCGTGTTGTGGTGTGCGTTTTTTTTTTTTTCAGTCATTTCTTTCTCAAAACGTAAGACAATCTTAAACGAGTAACCACTTGGACTGCTTCAGTCAACATCATCTTCTCTTAGTTACATTGTAGCTTTAGAAAATGAAGCTAGAGGACAGGTGGGGAAGGTTTATTATTGTATAGATCTTGTTCAGCTTCTAGACGCCACTTAGTTAAATCCTTACTCGATGGCTAGATTTGCGAACTATTTTTTGGTTTTACCTGCAAAGTCTTGTACGTAAGGATGCTTGACCATTTGGATTGAGATTTTCTCAAGACCGTTGATATACTTTTGTACTGATGCTATTGCAGTTATTGAATTTGTGTCAGTTTTGACAAGACTTTGTACTTTCGTCCATTCTTTAAGTGGAATATCTGTGAAATGAGAAACAATATGATATTTCAAGCATTCTTTTTTTTTTTTAGTTTGAAATTTGAGTAATTATCATTTTTGCAGTTTGGGGCATTCATATTGAGTTGGATTAGAACAAAAGATAAAGAAAGTGTTGGCGTCTTTATTATTTAAGCTTCTGTTGATGAAAAACAATGCATGACGTAGATACTGGACGTTACTTTGCGCCAAGTTTAGCTAACACTTATGGACATTTGCCCACAGCCAAAGGGACAAATATTTTTTTATTTCAGTTAATCATTTCTATTTTGGCAAATTAAATTTGAGATTCCGTCATTCATTTTTTAGAAAACGCCAAATTCTATAGATTTGACTATACAACACCTAATAAGCTCACATTACAATCCTGGTTGAATATGTTGTCAAAGTATCGAAGAGAGTGAATTACGATATAAGCTACATATCTTTTAAAAAACACATTCTATAATAAAACAGAAGGTATAAAAGATGAGCTACTGTCTATTTGTTAATCTTTATCAACAAAATACTTGTGCTAAATTCGATTGTATTTCACTGTCCCCCTAATTCTTCACATATCACACTTACTATATATAAAGCAATCAAATCTCCTGTTTTGATAGATGTGGGTAGGCGGGTTAGGACGGTTGGGTTTAAATAGCCACCCTACCTTTCACCATTCCGCTATTATTCCTCACTTAATAGAAATTAAATTAAATAAGAGCCCTGTAGGAGACTGGTAACCCTTAGCAAAGACAATATTATTAAATCACGAAAGGTACAAAGACCCCTCTCAACAGAGTTTAAGAGGCTGCAGGATTTTTATCGGAAATTCAAAAGACAAACAAAATGTTTTATTTATGCGTCAGTATTATCCAAATCTCTTTTGACAGATCTTGGTGAAGCTTATTAAGGCATAGTATGTTCAGAGCCTTTCATGGCTTCAGGCCCTTCATTCATCCTTCTTTGCTTTGTTGATTCGTTCTCTGGCTTTTTTCCTTGTTCATCACCTAAGATACCATGGCCAGTAGATTGAGATGCAGCACGGTCACTTGATTGATGGGAAACTTTTCCAAAAGCATCTTTAGCTTGACCTTTGGCATATTCGAGATTTTCCTTGATGCGATCACCAGCGTGTTCTGGATTTGGTTTTTTCATGTCATATATGTCAATAAATCACCTCTCTTGTATTTTTTTTATATATACTCGTACCCATGTTTTTATTGGCAAATTTGCTTGTATGTATTGAAGTATGTACAATTGATATCAAAAAGAAAGAAAAAAAAAAGAACAATGTGAGGTCGGATTTATACAAGTCTAACTTGACCCAAGCTTAAAAAATCCCTGACATCAATATAACGCAGCATGTAAAGATCACCCTTCTCTAACTCTAGCATTTCACTGTGAATGAAACAAAAAAAAAAGGTCAATATGACATGTTTCATTCCAAAAGAGTTCTTACCCAGCAGTTTGTATATTCAATCGATCAGCTAAGACCGATGCAAAGACGGGTGCGTCTAAATTGGGTTGAACAACTAGACAATGTAAGTTTCAATTGGACCCATTGCATCTTTATGCATACTTACCCATGCTTCCTTCTGGGGTTTCTTCATCTTGTCTTTGCTGAGAAACAGGTAATTGGTGAAGAAAGGCCGCGTATCCATGTGCTTCAATAAGTTCCTGATACCTATACACATATTCTTCAATATCATCTTTTCGTAACCTGTTCTCTTTCTCTTACTTTTGAGCATAACCGTATTCAGATTCTGATAGTATTTCATGTACATCAGGTTGCCGTAATAAATGCAATGAAAACTTTTCAATCTATTCGCCAAATGTATCAATTTCTCCCATCTTTTCTTATTCATTGTTATTTTACCTTGAATAATCGTGTCCTCAGGTAACTTCTGAGCAGATACTTGATTCGTTCAATTTCTGTCTGCTGTATCATTTGAATAAAGCGGGACTCCGTATCTATATTGATTTCCATTTGCTCAAAAATTTTTTCAGACTAGAATAAGTGTAAGCTACAAAAAGACTTGGCACGAAAAACGACTTGCCTGATGTTCAACAGCCTTTGTGAGTGAGTCAACCAAGTCATTTCTATAGGGTAGCATCTCTGGACTGTTTCGTTCATTCATCCACACTACGATCAACTCTTTTACTTGTTCTCCTGGAGATAAAGCACCAGCCAAATTGAAGATGTCATCTTGTGTTTGTGGAAAACTTGAGTCTTCTATTGTGCTATTCATTATAACAAAAAAAGGAGACAAGAGAGAAAGCAAAAAAAGTGTGCCCCTCATTTTCATGTCTTCTATCGGAAAATGAAATTGTCGCGTTTACTTCAAGTTCATGACGCGATGAGTCCCTTTAAAAATATCCTTTAGAATAGCACTTGTTCACGGCTTGATGATGATTGCTCATGTTATTCATTTCCTTATACATCCTGTATCTGAGAGAAAGCACATAAATAACAGCCATAATTACATTCAGCTTGGTTCCCTTCTTTCTTTTTTCTTGCTATACATGTATATATATTTATGTGTGTATGTGCATATGAACCACTCAAACTCATCTTTTAGACACAGACGGATTTATCAGTGGAAGCAACAGGATAACAGAAAATGCAGGGTGTGTGGCTTTGATAAGCCACAAAAAACAAACAAAAGGAGACCCTTACTTTTTCTCATTTTTTGTGTAAAGCATGTCTTTTTCATTATTGAGGCGATCGTTTCATTCTATTAGACCACTTTATCAAGAAGCATGGACTAAGACGTCCTTAAAAAAGCTGAAAAAGAATGAGCTTCTACAACTAGCAAAACAACATCATGTCCAAAAAGTCATGGGCACAAAGAATGACATCATTGACCAGTTACTTTCATTAAAAGAAAAGAAAAATAAGCAAGACGAGTTTGATAAAGATTGGGTGAATGCATTTGAAAGTAAAGTAGCTCATAGGGCCCACAAGAAACAAGTGGCAGCTGTTGAGCCCAAGCCAAGTAACAAACCTCACCCACTGAACGATAATATCTTCCGTGCGAAACCTGTGACAGCAACGTCAGAGGAAGAAGAAACGGTAGACCAACCAGTGATAGATGAATTTAAACATATAGACGAAAAAAGCAACCATGAAAACAACCATGATGAAAACAGTCAGGATGAGATCGACCAAAAGTGGGTTGAGGCATTTGAATTAAAAGTAAACTCTAGAACGTCCAAGCGACGAGAACAACAGGTTGAGCCTGTCATCCATAGATCAATAGACATAGAATCAACATTAGAGGACGACATAAAGGACATAGTACAAAATGAACAAGACAGCAAAAAAGAAACAGTAAAGAACGACCAAGAAAACAAAGTAAAGGATACAGTACAACATGAAGAAAACAAAACAAACAACACCTTGATTAGCTCAATGATTGGAACAAGTTTGCTTGTCTGGTACATTGGTGGACAAGAAGGGTTTATCAAAATATGGGAATTCATCTCATCCTAATACATATTTATTTATTTTTTAAAATTCATCTTCTTCAAAAGCTGGAACATCAATAAACTCTTTAATATCCCTAATCAGCGACTTTTGTAGACTCTTTTTTGCAAACATGTCTAGCATTAACGCTATACACATATATTAGTTGCTGTTCTTTCTATTTTCACACAAGTTCCTTACCTGTCACAGGTTCTCCATGATTCATACGTTTATAGAACCTCATTCGAACATCGACTTCGTCTCTGCATTCCATAGGCAACACTTTACCAATCGCATTAAACATATGCGCAGACTGATCCATACTAACCGTCGCGTCCTTTTGACCATGCAAGAAGAGTATCCTTGGCCAAAGGTCAAGCGTGTCCCCGGATGTGGCAAATAGATCAGCGTGCTTTTCTATCAAATGCATGGGTGAATTCGCAATGTATCCCTCAGGTGTTGAACCCATCACTCGTGTCATCACCGATAATTTTTCAACGCCTCGTGCTGTTTCAAATAATAAATGTGCTTGAATATCGTAAACACCTGCAAACCTACAGATAAATAAAGATAAGCCTGCATGACTCTATTTTCTTATCTCTTTCTAGATATACTTGCAGTAGCAGTCCTTCAATAGGAGGTAAAAAGTCATGAGGCAGCTCAGTGCCTCTGTCATGTTTTGTCGGATCATGCTTTTCGCTCACATGAGATGTTTGTTGAGCACCTGGTGCTATTGCTTGATAATATTTGACTTTTTCTATCACGTCAGATAAGACGACCTGAGCGACAAGGTGTGCACCAGCGCTGTGTCCCTGTTTTGATGTTAGATAAAAAATAAGGGTTGATAGTTAATCATACCATCATGTAGATCATATCAGGATCACCATTGATCTGTTCTGCATGTGCATAGACCCATTTGATAGCCTCACGAACATCCTCATAGATACCGTCGATCTTCACTTCAGGGTACTTGCGATAGTCAGGTACGACCACGACGTATCCTAATTCTCGTAACGTGTTTGCAAATGTTGTATAATAAACTTTGGATCCAGTTGACCATCCACCACCATAAAGAAACAAGATGATAGGTGCCTGGGATGTTCTATTGGGGTGATATACATCTAGAGAACATGTGGATGTATAGGAAATATCTTGACTTTTATGTAAATGTTGATCAGGAGAGCGTTCTCACATACATTAATAAATGTATATATATACCTCACAATCTCCTTAAACTTTTCTGTTCCAATCTTCCAATATCTCCAATGAATATAAGAGAAATACATTGGTATATATCGAATCGTGCCCCACAAGAGTTGAAATAAAGCAATATTAATCTTGATCACCCTGACTGGATGATAGGGTATATAGAAATCTGAATCTGTTCGTGCATAGACATAGTAAGCTATCCACGCACTCAGGTATAATCCAACTTTATATAGTATATTATTAGCTAATGATGTATCACATGCATTTATAGAATATACCTATAGAAACTATGATAAGTGGTAAACATAGCACGGCACATAACACCATGACGGGTAAGAAGAAAAGCGAAAGAGAGACAAAGAGTGTATTGGAACGAACAAGAGCCATTGTTTCTATGGAAACGTTAAAGAAAGAAAAGAAAGAAAAAAGGAGTCTGAAACGTCCCAAAGAAAAGAGAAAAAAAAATTGTTTCATGTAACCCAACTGAGAATTCCCTTTTACAGCAAGTCTGCAGGGTGCGCGCGTGTGTGTAAATACGCGTTTGCGGGAGGAGAAACTGTTTATGCCTTTTTTTTTTTTTGAAAAAAAATGTTTAAAAAGCCTATTGCCAATATAAAGACATTCAGTCCTCTTCGATCCTCAGATCGCCGTCATTTTCAGAATGAGGCAATAGAAGCCTATCCGGTGCTAAAAGATCAATACGTCATGCCAAACGATCTACGTTCTGCAAAATTCATTGCTCAGACGTCAACCCATGGCATTGTCTACACCTCGGCAGATCAGCCATTGTGGATCTCCTTTGAGAATATGACGCCTGTGCCAACGGGTATATATGATTCATAGTTGATGTTGTATGTCTTTAATAAGCCTCTAGTCTATACCATGTGGAAACACCCTGATATGTTACCAATTCTCTACACCTGGACACCTGTCATTCAAAAGCTGATGGAAGGAGCAGGTGGGTAGAATGATGGGTTTAATAAGTATATTAATCATATGATAGATTTGATGATTCCTGGCATTGTGCCAGGCCCAAGCGGTATTTTACCAGAACTTAGTCAAGGCGACTTGGTTGCTATCACCATCAGAGGATACGCGTATGTTTTATTGAGAGTCAGTCTGATGATCTAATACTGTAATAGGTATCCTTTAGCGGTTGGAACAATGGCATTACCAACTTCAGAGATAAAGCCGAGATCAGGCATGAAGGGGAAGGCGGTGCATATCATTCACGTCTACCAAGACTTCCTTTGGGCCATGGGCGATAAATCAGAGCCACCTGGATTAGAACAAGCTGATGATGAGAGCGAACAAGAAGAAATCAATGACGATGAGGAATCGAATGAAAACAACAATAATAATTTGAACATTGAACAAGAGCCACCTAAGAGAGATCTGAGCACAGAAGGTAGATGAAACTATGCGTTGTTGTGTACCAGTTTGTGTAAAAAAGGATTATAGAGATTGACGACATTTTGAAAACGTCGCTGTATCAAGCTCTTGTTCATAAACTCACTTCGGGCCATGCAAGCCAGCTTCCAATGTCAGCCTCTTCCTTTTACTCGGCCTATATCATGCCCTGTCGACCGGTAGGAACAGAAGCAGCTGACATCAAAAAATCAAGCTGGAAGAAACTGCAAAAGTTCTTGAAGGCCATGGAAAAAACAGGTTTACTAAAGACAAAAGAGCAACGTGGCGAAGCTGTCATCACTTCTGTCAACTGGTCCCATCCATGCCTACAAAACGTAGCTAAATACAAAACAATCGAACAGGCGGATAGCAGCACGCCACAGACTCAAACACAGGTGGCTCATGTGGATCATTATCCTCAAGCAGACATTCAGGAGCTCTTTAAGCCTTTAGGCGCCGCTCTGGTCAAATTGTTTGAAGAGGCTGAACAGGATACTGAGGCTCTCTATACCTATGTCGAGCTAAGAACGATGCTAACGAATTATATTAAGCAGAAAGAGCTCGCTAATCCTAGAAATCAAAAGTAAAGATCTATAAAAATCATTCAAAAGATAATTCACATGCTTTATCTCTAGGATGGTTCGTTTGGATGCTATTTTATGTGATGCACTTTTATCCAAAGCCGAGTACAGGACAATAGACGAACTTCCTCGAGACCAATTACTGACACGACTTTGCTCCAAGATGCAGCCTTTTCACACCATTCAGCTGCCTGAACAAAAGGAGCCCATCCTTCGCAAAGGACATCCAAAGCCTGTGGAGATTGTTCAAGAGATTCGTCAGGGACGAAAGACAGTTACCAAGGTTACCGGCGTAGAAGCATTTGGTTTGGATGTTGATGAGCTAGTCAAGGAATTTACAAAACTATGTGCAAGCAGTGTCACATGTAGGAATTTTTCTCTCTCTCTCTTTTTCTTTACTCATTTTCATTGTAGCTGCTCCTATTCATGGTGTCAGTCCCAAGAACCCATTGTATCAAATCATGATCCAAGGCCCACAGATCAAGAATGTGACCGAAGCGATGCTGCATAAAGGTGTCCCAAAGAAGTTTATTGAGGCAACAGATAAAACACAGAAAAAGAAGAAATAAATCACTTCAACAGCTCTTCTCTTTCCAATACGTCTTTATCTAACTTGATTAATATCGTCGTTCGTTGAGGATATCCATCAATAGGTACCGTATGGGCTGTCACTCGAGCAGGCTATATATATAATATTACAATCCCCACTTTCCCTTGAATCTAATATTCACTTACAAATTGACAACCATCCAACACAGCTTCTACAATACCAGCCACAAATGCATTACAGTTTAATTGAGAGAGTTCTTTGGGTACAGAGATGTATCTTGTCAAAATAGGTTCATTATCTGAAATCATATCTATAGATAACTATTAACATCTCCTTCTCCTTACACAAATAAACATACATTCATCTTCGTTTTCTGTGCTCTTTTCGAGTGAATCAGCCTGTTTTCCAAAAAGTGCCTTCCAGACTGTACTATGAATAAAGTAAAGTATGCCCAACACCTTCGTTTCTCGTTTAGCTGCTTTTTCTCTCCAGGTTAATAGTTCAAGCATGCGAAAACCGACTCGGTATCCAAATTCATTCAGTCTAATAAAATATGACACTTAATCATTGTTTCGTTCCATCATTTGATCTTACTTTCTTTCTAAATCCTGAATACCATTCACTCGTTTTTGTGCATACTGTAGCATTTCAGAGAATAAAAAAGTCTGTGCACTTAAACTGACCTGTAACGATGTTAACATGCAGAATAAAAGCATCTTGCTTATACCTCTGTTCCTCTGCTTTTGTTCAAATTCTTTTCAAGTATACTTTTAGCGCGTGTGATCCGGTTGTCACTGTAGATGGAGGATTGCATGGAAGAACGAGGTATGGATTCACTCATGTTGAAAATTACTGTTGAAGAAAAAAAAAAAAGGAAACAAATAAAAAACAGCCTTCTATTTTATGCTGTGTTCTTTCAAGGCCTGGTTGTCATTTTTGACATGTAAGCATCTTGTATCAGATACTTATATTGACAAAGTTCGTGTTATTAAGCCTGGTGTCTCTTGTTATTGACTACATTCATCACAGGCACACGCGAACGCGATATTTGGCTAATGATCGCTGTTTACAGTGCCTTATATAAGTTACAAAACGCCGCCTTTTCTTTACAATCTTATTATATAATCATAGGATGTCAAATCTAGAATATACCTCCTACTGAGCTTTTATAACAGATATTTCAACATGCCAAGGAAGGTCTGAATATATAAGCAAGACTGATCATTACAAATGCATCTTGTATGCAGAAGCTGAAGATAAGCTGCAAATGGTTGCTTGTGTACTTTTCGCTTTATGAACTTATTGAGACGACACTACTACTCTCCTTATCCTGTACTACAGTATCTACCCTGTGTCCTTGGACATAACCATTGACGCTCTTAGGCGTGCTTGGGTATTTTTTATGTACTTTAAAGTCATCCTTTAACTTTATAGTAAAGTACATATTCATTAAATAAGCAATTTCTGACAGCATTACAACGATTATATATCGCCCCATTCAGCTACTTCAAATATGCTGCTTCAGGAACATGATTGCAAAGGAAGCTATCTATTGTATATCAGCCAATAGAAAACCAGGAAAAAGTACGCTTCCTAGCAACAAAAAATTCATGCAACCTATTCCGATTCAGGGCCGCCTTTTTAGTCTTTTCAAAATCACAGATGTAAACAAACAAAAAAGTATAAAAAAAGGTCATTTTTTCACTCTTTTTTTTTTTTTTTCTCTTAAGCTTTTCCGGTTTTCCCCAATTCTGATTCTGATAGTAGCCTTCATGATGCTTGAAGAAGTAGGTAGTCTTTCTCTCAGAAGGGAAGGATTAGCTTATCACAATTTTTATAAAATTACTTCGGTGACTCTCTTTTATTGCTTCGGAAATGCTGCCCCTTGCGACTGTGGCTACAATGCAATAGGGTGAGCTATAAACCTATCCAACTTTGCCTTTTTCTATTCGCTGCTTAATAAGTTTTTAAACACGCAAGCTGGCTAGTCTACTAATGCCTGAGTAGAGCTACAAAAGAATACTTGTATATACTCTCTTTACTATCGCCAGAGAAAGAAGTATGCAGGATGTATGTAGTGCAGTTACCATAAACATATCTTTCATTGTGGGCAGAGAAATGAAAGCACTAGTACATAATCAAAACACGATTGTAACTATGGGTTTACCAGAGTCTGTTTCAATGTAGAGTATTTCATAGGTAACTTCTTGCCCTCATCAGCAACGCTTAAAAGAAATCATCAGTATTGCGGTCTTTTTGTAACCAGTTTAAATACTACTATGTTTGCTGAAGGCATTGTCGATACATATTCACTCACATATTTGCCCCCATTCCTTTCTTCTGTGATAATGGATAAAGCCGTTTCTCATTTATCAATCTTTAGCAATTAAACACACTTGATCGTGAATTTGAAGAACATTCATAAAGTTTACGATGTTAAAGACTGTGTAATATGGTTTGTGTTATGTACTTTGAGCATTAAATGAGTTACTGGTATATTTCCAATTTAGCTTGTTTCAAGAAAGAAAAGAAAAAAGTCATTACTATCAGAAGCTTTTCCTCTGACTATGTCATTTTCGATGGTCTGTTTATAACTGTATTACATACAATAATACTTTACAACATATTATATCTATAACATTGTAATCTATATCTAAATCAACTCAAGCGATTTTAAAAACCCTTCACTAGCACGGACGACTTGCTTAAAATTATGTTCAAATCCATCGTTTCCTCCATAATAAGGGTCCTCAATAATCAGCTCGCCTTGAGGATCATATTCTCCAAAAAGTTTGATCACTGCTTTGGAACCCGAGGGAGCCATTGTCTTTTGATCAAATTAGTTTTTATAAGGAAAACATACTTTTTATCAGCCTACCTTCAAGTCTTTCAAATTCGACTTGTCCATACACAGAATATAATCAAATTCGTCAAAGTCCTGTCTTGATACCTTTCTAGCACGATGATTCACAGGTACCCCATGGGAACGGCAACAAGCTGAACTACGACTATCGGGTGATTCTCCAACCTATGTTTGACATGAGTAAAATGAGAAGGGGGAGAGCAAGATTAACTTACATGGTATGCAGCAGTTCCTGCTGAGTCAATCTTGCTAAAGTGGTCTTGTAGCTTTTTTTCTTTTACAGTATAAGCAAAGACAGCTTCAGCCATTGGAGAACGGCAAATGTTGCCTAAACAAACAAACAGGACGCTTACCATTAGGGTAGAAAAGGAAAAAAGGAAAAAAGCTTAAAAAGTCACAATAAGGCACACCACTTGAATTATTGCTTCTAATGACAGTTTATTTTTACACACACAACTATAATAATTAACGCTTGACCCAAGTATATTTGGCACGAGCCTTTCTTTGACCTTCCTTCTTACGTTCGACCACTCTAGGATCACGAGTGATACATCCAGCTATATATTTTCAATCAATATCTCTCTTGTTTACCACAAAATTGATTCGTCTCTTACCTTTACGCAACGTCGGCTTTAATTCACTGTTATGAATCAATAAAGCTCTGCCGAGACCTAATTTGATGGCCTGTGCTTGACCTGTACTTCCGCCTCCTCTGACAAGAACCCAAGCATTATATTTACCTATACTTTCAGTGACTTCTAATGGCAAAGTAACTTCATCTCTATCGACAGGTCGCTGGAAATACTCGTGCAATTCCATGCCATTCACCAAGATCTTTCCTTCTCCTTCAACGAGATAGCAACTGGCACTCGATTCCTTTCTGCGACCGACAGCATAAGCACGGCCATATTCGTCCAAAGTGCGTATCTTGGTCTCCTTTTGCTGTGTTGTCTGTTCTCTCTGATAGGGTTCCAGCACTTTGGCAACGGCGGGAGGTAAAGGTTTAGGCAAAGAAGCCAAAGCATCGAGGTGAATGGTGATCTTTCGCCATTGAGAGGTGGTTAACGGAATACTCAGTAACTGTGACATCTTGTCACGCAGTTTCCAGGCATACACTTGTTCTTCTCCAGTTTCGGTGGGCTTCCAATCCTTAAATTGCTTATGAAGAGCATCCAAATCGATCAACAAATCGTTGTATTTGTAATTACCAGTAAAGTAAGATAAAGATTCGGGCTTCTCTCGGAATTTTAAGATATCGTCTGTCTTGTCGCTCTGTCCAAGGAATCGTCCTGTTGTTACAGTTGCAGTGCTGGCAAACCGTTGAGCTACCACGGGTAATATTCTACATGCTGGTAAAAGACGAAAGGCTCCTCTGCTGACAATGTTGGCCATTTGTGTGTGTTTCTTTACAAAAAAAAAATTTTAAAAAATGTTGGCAGGTCCCCTTGAATACGAGAGCGGGGGGCACACAGACATTAAAGACAAAAAAAGAGCGCAGAGGTTTTTATAAGTCCGTTTACAGTCACAATTGTCTTTTTCTTTTTTTTCTTCTTCACTCATGGGCATTAGTGCAAAGAAGCAAAAGACAATAAGGAAAACAGTCCATAGTTACTGTGTAGGCTTTGGATTTCGACCTCCATATCAAGTCTTGCTGGACGGCGAGTTTTGTCGTGCAGCATTGGAAAAACAAGTGTATGTGAAGGATGCGATTCCTGATCTATTAGGTGGATTGACACGTATAGGTATGTTTAAATATATAGTGACAAGCTAAACTAAAATGTATGAATAGTTGTGACCGAATGCATCCTACAGGACATCAAATCAAAAGGACACGACTATACCAGCGCTCTCGTCTTGGCCAAAAAGTTTGAAACTCGTAAATGTCCACATCAAAAAGAAAAGAAGCTCGTGTCAGCTTCAGAATGTATCAAGGATCTCGTTTCTACCAACAATCCAGAACACTTCTTTTTAGCTATCGGAGATAATCAATTGAAAAATGCAATGCGAAAAATACCCGGAGTGCCTATTGTGATTGTAAATACGAGAAAGAAGGGTGTTGGCCTCGAAGAGATGACGGCAAGATCTAAGCAGGCCCTGAAGGAACGCGAGGAAGAAAAGATGAAGCCATTAGATAAGGAAACAGCGAGATTAAAGCGAAAATTAGAAGAAGAAGAGAATAAGGATAAGAAGCCTATAAAGAAAAAAAAGGTAAAGGGAGTAAACCCATTAGCAATGAAGAAAAAGAAAAAGAAAAATCCACCTCCGCCTCCTAAAAAGACAACAAAAAAATAAATTTGTAAATAAAAGAAATACTATACACTTTATTCACTGATAAAAAAAAAAGATAAGTTCAGACAACAAATGAGAAAACAAATAATGATAAAAGAAAGCCCATCAGAAGCAAAAGAATGAATAAAGAAAAGATTAGTAAATCAGTTATTAAATTGATATTAAATATTTACATTATAAAGAAGAGAGTTTATAAGAGAAGAGTGAGTAAAATTATAAAAAGATTATTAATATCTTACCCGAAGTGTATCCTGGGTTGGGCTGGCGATAACCAGCTCGGAAACATAAATGAAAAAAAAGGGGGGGGGAAAGAGCATAGAGCAAGCATAGAGGGTATATAGGGCATATAGAGAGCGGTCAAAGGAGCGGAAGAGATTGAAGGAGTGTATGGGACCAAAGTTTGGTAATAATCAAACTATCCTCAGCTAATATCGGGTTAGCTTTGATGGGCAATCTATAATACTACATATCAGTTTCTTACAAGAGTAAAGAATATAACATACCTTAGGGCTAGCTGGGGAATAGCTGGTCTTATTTTTTGGTCCAAAGAAGAAGAAAAAGAAGCCAAGATCAGACTATTTATATAAAGTCTCTAACAACTCTTTCAGTTATGTGTTATTTATCAGTGTTGACCACATTTATCTTCTCACAAAAAGACAAAATTCATTCTCTTTTTAATAATAAAGAAAGGACTGATAATCAACTAAAATGTAATTGTTATCGATCTTGTAATGTGCGAATAATTTCTGAAAATAATCTATATTTTTTATTGACGTGAACTTCCAACACGAGAGAGAACAAAGACACCAATGATGGCCACGCCCAAGAAAGTGATGGCTGCAGGTAGCACGAGTTCATGAGGTATACCAAATACATCTTTTGGTTTTTGATCTACTTCTTCATCTTCTTCATCTGAAGACACTTGTCTTTGTTTCAAACTACGTCTCTTCTTTTTCTTGACCTCTTTTTCTTCCTCTTTTACTTCTTGTTCTTCTTCTTCTATTGGTTCTTCAACAAGTTCCTCAACAATTTTAATCTGTTCCTTTTCCTCTTCAACTTCAGCTGGAACTGGAGTTGCAGGAGATGCAGGAGCAGCCGCATCATGAACAAACAACTTGACACGGTCATGACCCATCTTACGAGCCAGCTTGACAGCATCCTCAACATCTGCATCCGACGTCATCAGCACCTGATCGTCCTCATCGTCCAAATAGGATATACTGAGCCAAGACTCGACTGGTTGCGCATCTTCTTCAACACCAAGATAACTGGTATGTTCTGCCACGACTTTTTGGTATACAGATTCGAGCAAAGAGGCATAACTGTCGGCAGCACAGGCGATGCGATGCGTCTTTCCACTGGCGGTTGTAAATTTGAATGAAAAGGTATTTTCTTTTAATGGCTGTTGTTGGCTTCGGTTGTCAGAGATAGACGACTCGTCATTATTAGCCACCATACTTGCTGATTCGTTGGGCGTGATTTCTGAAAAGCCCTGGAGCTGAGAGAACGACGTGGATGGTTCGGGCGAAATGATGCGGTGGTTGCCTGTGGCGGCTGACAGGAGCTGTGAGTCAGACAGTTGAGATTCTGTCTCGTGGTGATCGGTTGCGCCAAAGCTATCCCAGAACCGAGACCACATCGGTCCTTCACCGTCGTTGCCTTGGATACTGTGGATCTGTTCAAGTGTGGCGTAGGTTAATTTTAAAACATCGACAATTCCGACGACATCGCCGTTCTCGACAATGGGCAGATTTAAGTAGTGACCGTCTAAGGATAATTAAAATACAGAATTCCATTATTTATCATAATTACCATGCATCTTTCGAAGTGCGTCCATGATGGTCATGTTGGGAGGAGCAGTATCGGGGTGAGGCGTCATCACACGGACGACAGAACAGTTTTCTGGGTTTAAACCTGCTGCAATCACACGCAAGACGATATCCTTGGTGGTGAAGATACCAGCCAACCCTTCTCGGTCGTTGACCAAGACTGCAGTTGTGTGGTATTCTTTCATCATACGAGCAACATCACGTACGTTCGTCTTGACACTTACTTCGGCAGGTGGCAATCCATCAAGAACCGAGTTGATATCAGGGCACTCCATCTTGTCACGGAGAGCTTCCATATACTGTACGAGTTGGATGGGACTGTTGGACCACTCTTTTTCGACACCCTCAAGTGCGTCGTATAGTTTACGTGATGATCCAAATGCTCTTTCCATCTTGTCTAGGGCTTCATATAAACATTTGGTGATATCCAATAATCCAAAAATATCCCCTTCTTCATTACAAACAGGCTACAAGTTCAAATCAGTACACACACACACAAAATTTTTTTTTCCTTTTACCAAGTGACGGAAACCACGGGATACCATCAAGTTGAGAGCATCTGTTGCAGAAGTATCCGATGTGACACACATCGGTCCCTTGGTCATAATTTTGGCAACTGTTGTATCTCTACAAAAAGGGGTGAGCGGGACTCTCATCTTTACAAGGGGGGTCTGTACCTTGCATCCAGTGATTCAGCAACAACACGGTACGCTAAATCCTTGGCAGTAAAGATACCACTCAGATGATCATCTTCATCTACCACAAGTACACAATCACTTCTCTTTGCAGCCATCAACTGAGACGCTTCGATAACCAACATATTTTCCTTCACTGTCAATGCCTGTGACGGACGCAGAGCAGATACAGTGCCTGCAATCTTTTTCGTCTGTCGAACCCTTTTTGAACCAGATTTCTTTGAAAGCTCTTGTTCGAGTTTCTTCCTGATTGCCTTTATAAAAATAGGTAAGGAACAATAGAGTAGTCTCTATTCGACTTACTTCGTCTCTTTTCGACTGACGTTGTCTACTTCCAGTATTAACCAACTCACTACTGTTGTCTCTAAAGGAAGCAACAGACGGAATGCGTGATCCAGCTCTCTTGGTTGACATTTCTGAATGAACAAAAGAAAAAAAAAAAAAAAAAGATGGTCCTGGGCGCACGACCAAATCTCAAAATAGTGACGTTTGTGACACAGAAAAATGATAACAAAAGAAGAAATACAAATATGAACCGATGATTCTCTACATAATTCCTTTACGAACAAGAGTTCATTATTACAAACAGTGTCTTTTATATGAAAACAGAACTATTGCATGAATAAATCACGACCAATGAGAATTGGGAATGATGCGTTATATGAAAGCACTTTATGGTCAGTCCTTTTATATTGTTTATTGAGTTTATAAGGTAAATGCAACAACTATGACTATCCATTGAATAGTGTGCGCTTTTTATTTTTGCTCTATGATTCCCCAGCGATTTTATACCAATCCCCATTGGTATAAAAACAAATTACTATAAAAAACCATGCATATATACTATGTTATTAAGTGAAGCAGGTGGTGGCTCCTAAGGGTAAGCTATAGACATATCAAAGATGTCTATTTATGGTTAAATTGCAATTATTGACGCGTACTGCTCAAGAAGAAGACAATGCCACTCCTTTGAGATTTGGTGTGTGCGCCAAAAAAAAAGGGACCCTTGATGATTTAATTGTTACACATTTATTTTTAAGCTTCGATCTTTTTGTCCTTGTCCATAAAATAAGCAATCGTTTCGTCTGTGATTGCATTCTTTCTTTCTTGAAATTCTCCAACGAATTTCTGCAACACTTCGATACATCTCTTCTTTAGTTCACCCGTCATTAATTCACCCGATTTATAAGACTATACAATGTTAGCTTGACTTTAGCATGTTTATACATGACTTACATCATGAATGCGTTTCAACTCTTCGTCATCCTCTAAAAAGAAAGAAAGATACTGGTAGGCCACATCCACATCTGGATTACCTCCCTTTTCTCTATGTTCTTCAAGCGTAGCACCTCCACCTGAAAAAGCGTGTCGGTTGATCTTGTTCTTGATCTGTTTGGGTGTATCGGTCATGAAAATGGCAGAAGTATCGATCGATGCGCTCATCTTGGTTTGAGGACCTTGTAAGGCTGGAAAGAATTTAGCATGAATCAAACTAGGTTTGGGATACTTTAATCGTTTGGCTACATCACGAGTCAAACGGAAGTAAGGATCTTGGTCAATAGCACAGGGAATCAGGCAAGGAATGTCCGATCTGTTTCCAAAGATTTGAGGGAAAGAGTTGGAGAAAGAAGGAGCAGCTTGGACAGACACAAAATGAACTTTGCCTACATTATCACTTGAAAATACCATGAGCCTTGAATCATCCTTATCTATCATATACGCTTACCTATCATTGAAACCAAAGGTAGCCTTGGATTGATTGATAGTAATGCAACGGGCAATTCGAACGACATTTTGATAAAAGGGGCCACTAAATAAACAGTGAGTAAACTATCTTTCTCTTAAACACAAAAACAACTTACCTGACATAGTCAAAGTCTGAGAAAATAAAGGTCTTTTCAGGTTTAAATCCACAGGCAATGATATCCTTTGCGTTATCTTTGGAAAACTGTCTACACATCTCCACGGTCAAATTGGACTTGAACAAAAACTTTTCATCGTCAGTCAACTGAATGACCAAAGGCACGTCAAACACGTCTTGTAACCACCTTACAAAAGATCAGATACAACATATATACATTATTTCTTACTTACTGGCAAAAGATAAAAGGAACCATATGTCCAAGATGCATGGCGGCACTAGAAGGTCCACGGCCCGTGTACAAGAAGAATGGTTTCTTTTGTTCGTAACGGTCAAGGATATTGCCAAGTTCTCTATCTAGTGTTACTACACGTTTTCCTCTTTTTTTCTTTTTTCTTTTTACCGATGAGAGAAAAAGACACCTCTTTTCAAGAATATATGAGGTTGACGTCCTGTGAGTTTTTCAAATCGTTCCAATAAAGCATCATCAATAGGTCGGGTACCAAACTGTTCAATCAACTTGTTATAGTCAATAGCCTGTTGAACACCATCGACAATAGCTCCTTCTACTTCCCAAGGTGTTACATTTTGAGAGACTCCGGATACAGTAGCCTTGTCTTGTTCAATGGTCAAATTGGCAACACCGTCTGTAAGTTCTGACATTTATAAAGAGAGAGAGAAAAAAAAAAGGGGGGGGTGCCACATCCGATAGATACACAGCCGATATACATATAAAGAAAAAAAGCCACACTTTTTTTACATTACTCATCATGTTCAGGTTTACAAGAGTTCAGCATTCAATCAGATTAACAGATCTGATTGCCAAGAGATATTATAAACTTAGTGTTGGGTCTGTTAAGAAGGGTCAGATTGTTCAATTGAAGGATAAAGCATGGAGAGTATTGAATAGAGATCATGTCTCCTCTGGTCGAGGTGGTGCTGTAGTCAAGGTATAATAGATAGATATCGGTTTTATCAATGAATTAAATGACAACTAGATGGAACTACAAGATATCTTGTCAAACACCAAGATAAACGAACGCTTTAAATCAGGCGATTCCTTAGAAAGTAAAAAACTGACCCTACATTAATCTAAACTCAAACTAATTATAATCTAGTCTTGAATCTATCAGACGAAGCATATCAATTTCTATATACAAATGGTGACAAGATTCACTTGTTAAACCTCGAGACATTTGAAGAAATTGAGATGCCTGTATCTGCTTGTGAAGGAGGTGAACGCGCGGTTGGATTACTAGAAGGTAGTTGGGAAATAATGCTGTTATCATACTAAACATCAATATAGATGCTATGCCTATTGCCGTCAGTTTTCTTACTACACCTGAACATGGTCGACAACCTTGTACGTTCAAGTTACCCAACAACTACACATTCACAGTTGAATCCGTTATCGAACGTGGAGGCCAAGCAGCCAAAGGAACAGTCTACAAGACGGCTACATTAACCAATGGAGCTAAGCTACAAGTACCTGAATTTGTTCATGAAGGAGATAAAATTGTTGTAGATATCGAAAGTATGAAATATATGCGTCGTGAGCTCTAATGAAAATGATATCATTCCCTTATTAATAACTAAAATATCATTGGCTAAAAATCAGTAATCTAAACAAACTCCTTTTTTTCCCTGTGTGTGTGTATTTTTTTTTTTCTGTTGTTGTATTTTCAAGACAGAAAAGAACTTGTATACAATTTAAGTGTTCTACCATTTGGCGTTGTGAGTGAGTAAGTGTGTGCGTACGTGTGCGTGTGTGTGTATATATAATATATATAATATATTTATAAGAGATGATCACTGCAGAAAATTGGTGGAAGAGATTCGCGTAAGTCTGTCTTCATTAAAGAGTATATATGACACTAACATATAACTATAGTCAAAATCATGAAAACCTAAAGCATTCAATCGCAGGCGCAGGCGCTGGCATTGTTTCTTCAATAGTTACTTGTCCCTTGGATGTAGCCAAGACAAGACTACAGAATCAAGGGGTCACACTGCCTGGTGAAAAAATATACAAGGGAACAGTAGGCACCTTGTCTAGAATATGGCACGAAGAAGGAATAAGAGGATTGTATAGAGGATTGGGCCCAACCATTTTAGGTTACTTGCCTACCTGGGCGATCTATTTTACTGCCTATGACTATTGCAAGAGCCAATGGGCCAACGAAATAGGTAATTGATGAGTATGTTTGTATGACCTGTATTTATAAACAATACAAAAGGAAATGAAAAAGAATGGCTATTACACATCATATCAGCGATGTCAGCAGGGGCACTCTCGACAACTCTTACAAATCCTCTATGGGTTATCAAGACTAGATTGATGGTAATACTATCTTTATATGTGCGGATTTTTATTCACACCTTATAGACGCAAAGTGAACGTACGTCATATAGATATAATAACACAATACATGCATTTGCAACAATCGCAAAAGAAGAAGGATTTAGAGGATTCTATAAGGGTTTAGGACCATCTCTTATTGGAATCAGTCATGTCGCCGTCCAGTTTCCCCTGTATGAGAAACTAAAGGTTGTTCTTCGTAAGTAACATAAAGATCAAATCTGATTCAATATTGACTCTTATATAGACGTCGACCGAGATTCATCTTCTTATGGATCAACTTCTATTTTATTAGCATCTGCACTATCAAAGATGTCAGCGAGTCTTGCAACTTATCCACATGAAGTGATTCGAACAAGGTTACAGAACCAAACTAGAAAGCCTTATAAATATAAGGGCATCCTTCATGCCATCAAGATCATGTCAAAAGAAGAGGGCCTAAGTGGATTCTATAAAGGCCTAACGACAAATCTGCTAAGAACAGTTCCTTCTTCAGCAATGACTATTCTTACTTATGAATTGATAGTAAGAAAGCTTGATGACTGGAAAAACTTGTAAATACCCTTCTCTTATTTCAGTTATGCTTACGACGTGTAGTAGTAGTAGTAGTAGTAGTAGTAGTAGAGGAAAAAAAGAAAAAAAAAATATTTATTATATAAATAAAATGCTATATACTATAGATTTATACACAGAATGCTTTTTTATACATTATCGATTCCTTTCTAATTCATATTCTGCCACAATTTCATCACTCGTTGCCTTTTGTGCCATATTATCACGAACGATTGCATCTTCTTCAACGTCTGTATCATCTGCCTTGTGATGGCAAATATAAAACATGATTGTACAAAAGAACATGGCAGCACTGATACCCGTGTACATCCACTCGAGTTTAGGATCCACCGCGACAGAAACGAGGGCAAATGCAAGAATGGAAGCAAAGCAATTAGTGAGCAAGAAGAGAGCCATGACGATGGACTTCATTGACTGAGGTGCCTTTTTGTAAGCGTATTCCATACCGGTAATCGAAGCAAATATTTCAGAGATGGCAATGAGTACGTACGAAGGAATGAGATAGGCGGCTGATATCCAGTTTTGTCTACCTTCGGGATGATCGTAATAAGGAGCAGACTTGTAGACCATGGACTGAATACCAGCAGTGTATCCCATGGCAGCAGCAGCAAAGAAGAAGCCGCATGTGATACGTGCGATAGGTCGCATGGGAAGACCGAGACGACGAAGGCCAGGGTATACGACAGAATCCATGATGGGGATGATGATGATGAGAGCAATAGGATCGATATTTTGCATGATATCATTTGGAACGTTGCCCGTGAGCATGGTGCCAGCCATTGACACCAAGTTGTTTGTCATCTGGGAATAGCATAGCCAATAGATTGGAAACCAGCAAAAGATGACACAGGCCTTCAAAGTACGTTTGAGTTCATCTACAAAGACATCATCCCATGTCGCTTTGATTGCATACTCGGGATATTCACGAGCCAGGTTTGAAGGCTTGCATGCGTCAATGCCGCCCTTGACCTTCCAGCTGAGCCAAAAGAGTCGACCGGCTTCGATAAAGACTGAACCACGTGGTGGGTTTTGAATGTATTGATTACGGCCCAAAATGACAACGATGATGCATGGAATAAACATAAGCGTAGGTAAGACAAAGGCAGGCCAGAACCCGACATTCTTTTCTAATTCGGTTGTGGCAATAGCAGAAAGTGAACCAATGTTGATGCCCCAGTAAAAGAAGTTGAAGATCTTTTGGTACGTCGCTTGAGGCGTCACAATCACTCGTTTGCCATTCTTCAATGTCTTCACGTAGGCAGATTTGCTGCGATATTGTTCAGCAACCAAAGGTGATACATTCGATTTGATACCGCCTGTACCGAGGCCAACGATAATGATCGCAACGATGTAGCCTGGGAATGAGGCACCAGATGCAATTGCTGGTGGAATGGATGTGAGTGTCAAAATGGTCAGTCCGAGAAGATAAATGATGGAAAAGACAAGGATGGTTCTGTATTTTCCCCAGAACTGATCGGCTATAACAGCGCCAAGGATAGGAGTGATGTAACACCAAAAGGTGAAGAAGGTATTCAAAGCTGTCGCCGTTTGTTGTCCTTTGCCCATTGCACCGGGTAAACTAGCGGGATCTTTTTAGATAAAATTCATTAGTTTTCAAGGTCTCCTTTTTGTTTATATTATCGCTTACATGATGGTGGAGGAGGATTTTGAATATAATTTTGGAAGGGTCCACTTAACCCATAGTACGTGAATCGTTCACAGAACTCAATCAAGATGACAAGAAAGGCTGTTTTTGGAATTGCATCGGATACTTCGGGTAAGCTCTTCCAATCTTCTTCTGTAGGCTCAGGATATTCTTCATTATATGTCTCAAAGAAGTCGTTGTGTTTTGAATTTGTTTCTATAATTGAATCTTGCTTTTCTTCATTCATGATGAATTGAGGTAAAAAAAAAAAAAGAAAAAGGGCAACACGATACGAAGCCTCTTTTATACTAAATTTTTTAGCCAAGTTTCTACTTTGAGTCTCCGTTTATCTCTTCTTTAAACATTATGTATTATTGTTTTATGACATGATTACAGTGGGCTTGTTACCAAGTAAGGAAATTTTATACCTATTTATTCTCACGTTGCTCGTACAAACTGCAATTGTTCCAATTCAGGAGAATGTTGAATGTAAACAGTAGTCTTTTCACTAGAAATAGAGGCAGTAATGATGAACCACTTATATGACAGAAAAAAAAATTAAATACAAGGGGTATATATACAATCGCTTCAACTTTATTCCCGAAATTGTATGTTTCGGCGCATTCCGCTTTGTTATTTTCTACATAAAATTGACAAACAGCCTTCTTTCTTTCACATAATTGTTGATTCTTTTTCTATTATGATGCCATATATATGAGCGCTGTTATATTCACAGCTTTTGCTTATTATTCAGAAGATGGACGGGTAATGTGTGATGGTTGACTTTTGGAATTTTCGGTCAAATAAAGAACTTGTATCCGATTGGATATCGGGTTAAAGTTTTAATGCTTTCTTCTTTTGGAGCTGCGATCTATAATCCAGAAAGTCCTTTTTGCCCCTCATTTTTGGGTAGTAGATTCATTCGTGGGTACAAAAATGAATATATTTCTATGTCACAGCTAATTAACAAACCTATAGTCAAGAATTATTTTATTGATTTGATTGAATTGCCACGTTGTTAGTACGTGTTGCCTCAATTTATGGTTACCTAAACAAATATATCAAGTAGCTCCGATCTATTATTAATATAAATGGACATTTATTCATTTTTATGTAACATGTTTTCTTTCAAACACACATCTCAGCTTACTTGATACATGTATATATTCATCATATTTAATCCAGAGCCAAATGTATATTAAATTGGTGCATCTATAGTATAATAATGCTTCAAAGTAAAACCAACGCTGCTTGCAACTATTTCTATTGAGACAAAAGATTCATGTCAGGGGGGTCAAGGAAATTGAGCTTCGATGATGCTTAATTTATTTTATCAAAATGCATTTACATGTTTATCTGAATGCTTATAGCGTACCTTGTCTACTTTATCATTATAAGAGTAAATGACAGAAAAGCTTGATGAACCCTCTTGTACAGTTTAAAGCTTGGTACACTTGTTCGAATTTGGCGAGAGAAGGCTAAAGAACAAGCAAATATGCTGGCATGACAGCTTCTATACCTTCGTTTCTCCCTTTTCAGTATGACATTAACTTTTATTTTGTTTCAAAACTAGCTGATACTATGGTTATAAAAATAGACAGCACTTGCAATCCATAACTACAGAAGAGCAAGATCAAGCTTACATACATGACGACATGGACAGTTAAAATGTCATGCTGGATCATTTACACTTACGAGAGCATGCTTCATACTTTTTTTTATTCACGGAAACACAACAAGACACTAAATACGCGAAAAATGACATGATTTATATAAGTCCATGGTGGACTTTTGAATTTATTTAAACAAATAATGATCAGCATCTTTAATGTTCTTTTTTTTTGTAAATGCGCAGACTACAAGTTTGAAAAACGACGTTTCAAGCTTCGTCTGCTTCTTCTTTCTAGCTTCCTTTGTTCACTAAGCGTTACAGGGCAGGGTAAATAACACACAAGGCGTCCGGATGAACCACAAACCTGCCCTGGATGCTGAGGAAGCACCACTATACGAAGCAGTGGCGATGTGACAGGCGCGGATGGAGAGCGAGGAGGAGGCGGAGAAGGAGAAGGAGTAATTCTTGTAGGAGTATCGCTGGTTGAACAGCGATAGCTGATGGCTGGCTTGGAGGCGCAAGTGCAGGATCAGAGGAATTGGAACGAGCTCTTTTTGCGTAACTTGCTTGATACTTCCGAGCCACCAGCTTTTCTTTTTCTTGAAAGCTAAAGAAACAGTGGTTCAGATGAAGGGAAGTCGTATGCCTTAACTTTTTTACCTTTGGGTTTGGCTTTTTGCTAGACAGTCCCTTTTTAGATTCGTTGTAGTTGCGTAGTGATCTGTTGTAAAGGGAGTATGAGATAGAAGTAAAACAAACAAATGGATAGGCTTACCTGATCCAGGTGTTCATTGAAGCTGTCATATACCGCGTCTTTAGAGAGAGAGAGAAAAGTGAGTGTTGCTTTTTTTTAATATCTTTTCTAGCCCTGGATTCCGTTTGTGTACCTGTAGATCCCATTTTTACTATACATGATAAGATTTTTTTTACTTTATTTTCCCATTCTCTTTTTATGGCATCAATATTGCATTTGCTTATAATACATACAGATTTTAATACAGCACGCTTTCGTACGCCTCTATAGGTTATTGTTGCCTTTAAATGGTCAATAAAAATCCCAAATCTATGGCTACCTCATCAATTATTCGTTGTTATTGAGCTTGAGCCTTAAAGCGTACGAAAGAGGGTCTTTTCTTCTACATTGATATCCAATGGCAACAACTGAAATGGTCCATGGCATTAAAATGAAACAATAAAACAACAAAACACTACAGCCATAGTTATAATGTGAGATACACCAAAGTACAGTGCATGTTGCCATGAAAAAAAGCCCCTTAAAGCCATATTATTGTTTGATTATGTGTAATTGAGATTCAGTTGATCATCCTTGAGCAAGTAACATGTGAATGCTGTTACCATAGCTCCCTCACTTATTTACTTGATCATCATGTCCACTGCTTACTATATTATAGCAGTAATATATACACAACAACGAAACTAAAGGGTAGTAAAGTAAGAGTATTTCCTATCATAAACAGTGCCAAAAAAGAGGGAACCAAGGACGATTATTTTCCAAATTCGGAACAGTTCCGAAGTTCTATTGATCTATGGGAACTTCTTAAAAAAAAAGATCTACATATGACGTTCTATTGAAGTGAGTTAGTTGAGTAAAACAGCAATAGAACCTGTTATATCTTTAAGCCAGACCTCTATAAATATGTTTGTCATAATTACTGGTACATTAGAGCACAGAAATGTCACTAGATTACTCATCTAGTGGGTCATCTCTTACAGCGTTGACAATATGAAAAACTATTACCGCGCACATACACACAAGGCATAGTTACCAAGTACGTGTCTTGTTTATCGTTCTTTTATTTTACGCCATCATTTTGGTTAATGGATAAGAGTAAATTAGCAGAGATCCTTTCTGAGAAAATAAGGTTACCTACTTCCCTATAACCTAGAAGTAGCCTTGTGCAACCTTTGGGACCCTTTTCTATTGGAGTGTTACTGCACGCAACAACGGATGAATAGTTAAAAGAATATTGACTTACTCACTCTCTTTGCTTTTATTCACTTAATGTTGATCTTTCTAAAGTATTCTTGACGTATCCTTTGTAACTTGTAAAGAAAAAACTAAAAAAAAGGAGAGCTGCTCTACCCATTCGAACGCGTGTAATAATATGCATATGATAATTGACGGCGGTTGCCATGGAGATCTTTCTAAAATAGAAGAGATCAGAACAAAATAGAGCAAAAAAAAAAAAGAAGCGTTTAAGCGCATTTCATAGAGGAATTTAGCGTTTCTAATAACTAATTTAGTCCATGTATCCATAATAGCATGAGCTATCCACGGATAGGTTCCGGATTATATTATAAAAAAGGAGTGAGATAAGCTCAACGTCTAAAAGAAGAGAAGAGGAGAAGATCGAACGATGCTTGATATAGAAGTCAGAATAAGATGAAGATAAGAAAAGAATATATTGAAAGGACAACTCTGTACTTTTTCTGTTTTTCTTTTTCTTTATCGTATTACTTTTTTTCATAAACATGTCCAACCGATACGTCAAGCAGCAAATCTACGAAATGTTAAAAAAGCAGCAGGAGCTTTTGCTCTTCTTTCAAGAGATAAGCAAAAATATAGAGGAAGAAGGCCTTTCTATTGGAAAGTTGGAGAGCGAGCTGGCTGGGCTCAGCAGTCAACAAGAAGACTTCATGAGTAATGTTTATGTAAGTTATATTCACATCAGTATACTATTGGTTACTTTCTCTTTATTTGATGCATTTCACTAAGATGTCTTCGAGACTGCTGGTCTAGCCGAATAAGAAGAGAAAGAAGATGTTAATGAAGAAAAGCAGCTCGTGGCGGACGAGTACAAGATGGAGAAGATTCGCCGTGACGTGGTGATGATGGCTCGTTTGCAAGAGGAAGGCTTTTTCTGAAGTCTCAATGGTATCCTATCCAAATCAAAAGAAGACAGTGAACAACAAAACTCGGACAACACTTGTGTGTTTTATTCAATAAAATAACCTTTCTTTCTTTTTTTTAACTCTAACTATGAGCAATCCTTTGTTGTCAGAAACTAATAATTGAGGGAAAAAAAAAGTGAGCTTTGCATGACTTGGAACCCATTTTGCCTTTTTAGTAAAATTTCACGTTCAGATCAACTTTTATGAAATTGCTAGAATTTTTACTGCATTTTAAAATGACACAATGAGCAATTACGTTGCCTCCTTTCTTTTCCAATCATCAGCATGGCAGAACCAGTTCAACTCTATATATATGATCTTTCTCAGGGCTTAGCCAAGTCCATGTCCCTTGCATTAACAGGGAAACAAATCGGTAAGAATAAATAAAGTGTATATGTGTGTAAACGAATATCTTATTTATTTTTTTTTGTAAGACGGTATTTGGCATACTTCAGTTGTTGTCTACGATCAAGAGTTTTACTATGGCCAGGGTATCATGGCTGTTCCTCCCGGAAGCACACAACATGGTGCTCCTCTCCAAAAGATTGATATTGGCGAAACATACCTTCCTCTTGAAGTTGTCCTTGAATATATAGATAGTCTTCGATCGGTTTATACGTAAGGAGGACATGCATAATTTTGATGTGCGGTTCATTGACATTGTATAGAGCCGAAAAATATCACCTTTTAGACTTTAATTGTAATACCTTTTCAAATGATTTATGTCAATTTTTATGCGGAAAGACAATACCTGCTCATATCACTACTTTACCATCCGAAGTTATCAATACGTAAGTAACGTTTTATTTTCTTTTTATTCCAAACTCATCTCTTTCCAGGCCCTTTGGACAATCCATTTTGCCAATGATTGAAAATATGTTTGGTCAGTCTCGATTAAGACCCACTACTACTGCTGCTGTTCCTCCAGTACAAGCACCGCCAGCCGAAACGGTCAATCGTATTCTACAGGGTGAAAGACCCACGACAGAGACAATCAGCAGTTTATTGCAAGGTATCTCCTCCGCAGCAATGTCTGCTGCCCCAACAGAAAAGAACCCTATTCAAGAAGTCAAGAGCGCACAGATGATGGAACAGTTGATCACCAGCTACAAAGCAGTGGCCGTCATGTTCACCTCACCGACATGTGGACCGTGTCAAATGATCAAGCCCAAGTTTAAAGAGCTCATACAAGAGAAAAACAGTAACCCACAGCAACAGATCAGAGTCTTAGGCGTACTTTTGGACATGTCAGTTGCCATGGATGCGGCAAAGTACAACATCAGGGGAGTACCGACGTTTCATTTTTACTTGGATGGGAAGAAGGTCGCAGAATTTTCAGGCGCTGATTACGCAGAATTGAAGAGTCAAGTGGACATTTTATTATTCGAAGCTTATCCTCGTAAGTTACATGTATTAATTCTTTATTTATTCTAACCGCTTTCTACATGTATAGCTCATCCACACCGAAAGCTGCTTTTGAAAGCAATCATCAATCAGCCCAACGTACCTATTCTTTACACCAATGTTGGAAAACTAGATGTTATTTATGGAAAGTTGAATGAGTTTATAAAGGCGAATAATGTGACTTTATCGGATACTGAGAAAAAGGCGCTGGATGAAACCAAGCAGGTGCTCAGCAAGGAAAAAAAGACACTTAATGTCAACGAGTGGAGTGAGCTGTCTAGGACATTATTGGATAAGTTAAACAATGATCAGTTATTCCCATTTTTGGATATCTTCAAGTCATTACTGCTTATTCAGGACGTTTCCAACTATTACACTACAAACCGTATGTTATTCATATATGACCTCCTTTTTATATAAAAGACTAAACACTGGCTTTTTATATAGCTGATCAATTGGGCAGAGTGATGGACATTGCCACTCAAAACTGTGAAACGCTTACGAGAGCAACATGGATCATGATCTTACGCGTCGCTTGTAACCTATTTGCTGATTCGACCTTGTCCACAACTCACTTTACTTCCCACTTGGAAGGAGCAACCTATCGATCACAGCTCACACAAATGTTAATCACTAGCTTGTTATCGGATGACAGTCAGATCAGACAAGCAGCCGCGTCACTTGCATACAATTGCTCCAATAACGTCTCGATCGAACGACTGAAAAAGGAAGAGGGGACGTTTATCGGTATAGCAGAACAAGAAGATGATGATTGGCAAGTTGAACTATTGAGTGCAATGGTTGACGCATTGACTAAAGAAACTGATGAAGAAATCAGTAAGCTCCATCCTTGTTTATATTCAATCCGATTGACTCCTTTTTTTTTGTAGTGCACCGTTTATTAGCTGCTGTTGGCAAACTACTATTTTTAGCTCCAGAGACTTCATCTGTGGGCAACTTACTATCTGCATTAGATTTGACAAACATTATAGAAACAAAAAAGAAAGAAGGCGTCATCAAATCGACTTTATTGCTTAGTTTATCCTCTGATATCTCCAAGATTGTTAAACAAGAATCTGTGAATGAATAAAAAAATAAAGGTTTTGATTGGGTGGCTTGACAAGATCCCTTTTTTTTTTCATTTTATATAAAAATGTCTGAGGAAAAGAACAAACGAAAAGGAAACAAAAAGGAAGACAAGAAAAAGGGAGGATCGAAAAAGAAAGAAAAGGCACTTTTACGAGAAACAGAAAAACGAAATGCGGTGATGACTGCATTCAGCAAATACTATGAAGCCGAGTGGGGATCCGAACGATGGCCGATTCTACTAGAGGCACTCAAACGACCGGTTCGACATTGCATCATGATTAACAAATATGCTCAGATTGACCAAGTAAAGGCAAAGCTAAAAGATACCTTGCACGACTTGATCATGCTTGACTTTTTGAGTATCCCCTGTTATGCATCCAAAACATGCTCTCGATTCCCGCCACCTTCAAAAGATAGCCATGAAATCACCGATTATTATATCCTCGACGCTGGTTCCGTTCTGGCAACCGAGGCTCTAGACATTCAGCCAGAGGATCACGTTCTGGATCTATGTGCGGCGCCAGGCGGCAAGACATTGTCCATCTTGCAGCGTTTGGATAAGCAGTACGGACGGTTGACATCGAACGAGATCGCGTCTGATCGTAGACGACGGTTGCGCCAAGTCATTGAGTCTTATTTACCGCCTGATGTGCTCGCAGATGTCAGTACTGTTGTCGGCAGGGACGGGACACGATACTATGGTGAGCCAGAGCAGTATGATAAGGTCTTGTTAGACGCACCTTGTTCGTCTGAACGTCATCTGCTGCATGACGAAAAGGAGTTTGAACTCTGGACACCCAAACGCACTCAAATGAACGCCAAACGGCAGTTTTCTTTGCTCAAGGCTGCAGTGCATGCCGCTCGCGTCGATGGATTGATCTTGTACGGTACTTGTTCTATTAGCTCACTAGAAAACGATAAAGTCATTGAAAAAATGATCAAAAAGGGCAAGATTCCTGTGGAACCTGTCAAGATGAAATGGGCTATTGGTGAAAGAACAAAATACGGATGGATCATCTTGCCTGACAAGACCGATGGTTGGGGTCCCTTATATTTTGCTCTTTTAAAACGAACAGGTGTCTCAAAGGAGGATGGCGAAGATAGTGAGAGTAGCGATGACAATGAATAATTCTCCCCCCTGCTACACTTGTATTAAACTCCGGGAGGCTTCTTTAACTTTCTAGAATAAAAAAAAAAAGAATAATAAAAGAAGGTGAATTTGTTGTCTTTTGCTTTTATATATATTTATTTATTAGAACATGTTTGGCTGTATTGCTGCTGGTCGACTGGTATTTTGACAAGCCACTCTTTGAAAATAGCAAATTAAGGACAACGTATAGGTTCAAACTAATCTACAACAAGTTGATGTCAACAAATATGTATTTGAATTAGCAGATGCTCAAAATATAAATCACATTGTCGTCTTCTTACTTGGAACCATACCATTTGAACCAGGATATGCTGCAACTGTTCACTTACTATGGCCTAATAAAGAGTGGCAACTCTTGGGAGGGTATGGCTTTTAATATATAACATGGATATATAAAAGACTAATATCACCATAGGCTTTCTAATGAAAAGGCAAGCGCTATATTCCGTCTCAAGGGTACAACAGCAACACCGATGGTTCCTACGTCAGCCACGCTGGGGATTTCGATTGAACCAATTCAAGTCGTTCAACAAGAACTCGCTACACTTCCAAATACAACAGCAGCAACAACAGCAACATCCACATCCTTGGTCAAACCAAGCATGAATGTAACTCAAGTAGGCCAGATGGCAGAACGAATTTTAGAAAACCTTTACAACTATGTCACTTCATTCACTGTACAGAACATACCAGTCAATTCGATCCCGATTGGACAATTAACAGAGAACGGATATCTGTCACTAAAGACATTTCAAACTTGGTATGATAATCTCTCAAGGAAACTAGCAACAAATCCAAATTATTTAAATGAAGAAAAATCAGCATAAATCCTATTGTTTTAATAAAGCCATAGCTTATCACCCAGAGCAGTAATAACTCAAACATTGTGTGACATTCTTTTTTTTCTTTCTTTTTCTTTTTCTTTTTAAAATAATGCATACTTCACAAGAACGCGTTTTCATTCTCGGAGGCACAGGCAATGTAGGCTCCAAGACAGCCAAAGACCTCTTGGCAAAAAACATTCCAGTAACAATCTATGCCCGTCAACCAGAGAAAGTCTACACTTTATTTTCCAACAATCCACTTGTTCAAGTTGTCCAAGGCGACTACAGCGACATGACACCACTCAAGAACGGATTGAAGAGGCACACACGTCTTCTACTTCTCATTGCTGATTTGCCCAATATGCCTTCTCATAAAAGGACCATCGCCAGCTGGGCTTATGAGGCAGGCGTTCGACAAATAGTCGATATCTCCAGTCTTTGGAGCAGCTTCCCTTGGCGTACGACCTACATTGGAACTCAACACTATTATGCAGAAAAGGCCGTCTACGAACTGCCAGACCGTGGCGCTTTTGTCGCCTTGCGACCTGGTCGATTCATGTCCAACCTGTTTCACTTTGGTCTGTTTGAGAACGATCATGTCCTAGATACACTCCACCCTGACCAACCACAAGGCTGGATTTCACCCAACGATATTGGTGCAGTCGCAGCAGCTATCCTCAGTGACGATATCCAAAAGCATGGAGATGCTGTGTATGAACTCAACAGTGATGTTGTCACGCCCAAACAGCTTGCAGAACACTTCTCACGCGCTCTCGGTCGTCCCTTTGGCTATAAACAGATCAGTGCACTTGACAAGTACAACAGACTGATGAGTTCAGGTTATATGAATCATAGCATGGCTTTCGGCTTGTCTACGACTCTGGCTTCTTATGACATACAGAATCCTCTCATCTCAGACGGCATTCAGATACTTCTTGGAAGAAATCCTGAGAGACTGGAGGAATATATTATGGACAATAAGCACTTGTTCAAGCATTAATAAGTAATGTCCTAACGGTATCTGTTGCATAAAAGTTTTTTTTTGTATTAAAACATGGGTTTTATTTATCAAAGAAACACAATATGTCCGTATCGATTGTAGAACGCTTCATCCACAGGAACAAAATAAGTGAGGGCCGACCAAATCTCGTCAGCAAGTGATGCTATAAAGTTTTTGTCTAGCAAATCAGAAACCCCGATCCAGCTTTGTCTGTCTTAAACTATCAGGAATCGTATACAGTTACAAGAGTTTGACTTTGATTCTGTCTTAAAAGAAATATCAAACATTTCTCTTCTTTTCTGAAAAGTGACTAATTAAACATGTCAAGCCAAAATTCATCAGATAATGCCCATAGCTCTTACTAAAAGCGCAAACTTAAAAAGCACTGGGGAGTCTTCTGGCTCGATAAAGTTAATTTCACCTTGGGTCGTATTTCTGATATAGTCCAGATACTCAAGAGTAGCGTCTAAAAAGTTGTTGATAGAATTCGTGAGACTAGATCCCCTCTCCCAAGAAAAGCACTTGAAGCTTCGAAAAAAGCTTGGCGAAAGGGCTCCAAGATACTTGGAAAGAATTGTAAGAAGTCCATTTGCGTCTTACGATTCTGTAAGATTCGAATTATAGCAAGCTGAGTTATAATCTCTCGACAGACAGTAATCACCTACTTGCAGGAAATGGGCTTTAGATCTTACTTTGCTGCACATAAGCCATCTCTTACAGAAGCAAACAAAAAGAAAAGACTAGGTTGGGCCTTGTGTCATGTCAAATGGGCTCAAGAACAGTAGAAAAGCATGATTTGGTCGGATGAATCACGATTTACGGTGGAGGGCTATGACAGTGGGACCAGAGTTATTTGTAAAGTCGGCGAATGATACGAGTCTCGTCCTGTTAAGCTCACAACAAAATGGGGGGCCATGGAAGCGCTATGAAGCTGTTTTTGGGCAGGAAGCTTTGAGCCCTTATGGTGATCGTTGACGGTCCTGAAAACCAGGACGTGTAACATTGACATTTTGGCCTAGAACTTTCACCCTTGGTTCAAAAAACTGGTAGATGAAAAAGAGAGGGATTTCATCTTTCAAGAAGATAGCGCAAGCTGCCATACTGGTGGCTATGCGAAATGGTGGAAAGAGGCACATCAAATAAGAGGTTTTGAGTACTGGCCTGCCCAAAGCCCAGATTTAAACCCGATTGAGTATATTTGGTAGGCTCTTGAAAAACTTATCGAGGACAAATGAACCACTATTAGCAGCATCGATGATTTGAAGGAGATCTTAAATGACCAATGGAGAAATATAATCGTGGACCTTGCTCATTGCTTAGTTGCAAGTATGAGTGATTGATGCCAAGCAATTATCGACACCAAAGGCGGGCCAACGAAATATTGAAATTAAAATAGACATGTCAAACTTTCTTTTTATAATGACTATGAAATTTTAAATAGTATCAAAATCAATTTCCTGAGTGATTAATCTGATAGTTCCGGATGACCTGGCCAAAATGGGGGCATTTTTTTTAAAAGCTCTGGCGAGCACTGGTTCTCGCCTTGGATGCTCAATACATTTTTTGAAGAAAGCAGGACTTTTACCAAGAGATAGAAATTGGTTAAGCCATGAAAGAAAATTGACAACTTTTCTAAATTTATGCTTCACGGCATATCGACATGATCATCATCAAGTTTTGATGGTGCCCACAATACATTCACAAGACACTCTCTCTACAGAAAACAGCTTCAATAAAAGTGATCTATTTATTTGTTGATCCATTTGTTTTCAAAATGTGACCAATTTATTCATGTTAAAAAATAAGTAATGTACTGCATTATTTACAAATAGTAAAAAAAAAAAAGGGGGGGATTCTATTAAGCTATATTCTATATTAATCAAGTATATCTTGTATTATTTGATTGCAACAACTTGGTCTCTTCATTAGGTCGATGTCTAGCATCTGCTTGAGGTAACAGTTCGTCATGAATCGTAATCGCTTCCTCTTCTGTCAGTTTATTCAACTGCTGCTTCCACGAGATCAAGAGGACACCGCCGATAGTCAAGGACACTCCGATCATGACAAGTACAAGTTGATACCATGTAAATCGATCCCATTGATCATAATAAACCAGTCCATTGAAGAGACATGATACATTAAAGACGCAGCATGATATAGGAAGCATAATGACAGTATCACATAATTGTAATCCTTTGTTTAAATAATGCAGCTAAATAAATAGATAAGACATATGTTTGCCCAAATATTCTGATATTTACCTGCAGGACGGCCGTACCGACCATCATGATCAATAAGATCCAAGTTAAAGAATGTTGTAGCTGATTCTTATCAGATACAATAGTAAGGATGATCAATTCGATACCACTTTTTGCAAATAGCATGCTTTGACTGCTAATATTGCCTGCCAATACACCATAACTTTTAAATGATGAGCGTCAATATAAACATGCATTTTGTCTCTTTTTACCTGATGCCAATATATTTCTTAAATTCATTCTTTTCAATCCATCGACCCACCCACTTACCCACGGTCGTAGGAGGTAAAGCCGCTGACTCTATTTGATCATACAGATACTCACAGTAGTGAGTTAACAATGCACTTGTGACTATCACGAATTCTAAACAACTAAAATAGGCAATAAAGCCAGGCTTTTTATATAACCTTATCAGGTCATCTATGTCATGGTCTGGTTCGGATACGACGCCAAAGAGGCCGAGAAGGAGTGTGCCGAGAACGATAAGACAGGTGCCCAATACTTTTTTGAGATCGAATGGGTCACCAAGGATGAGCTTAGCAGCTAATGCGTTGAACACGAGTGATAGAGCTCCGATTGGTGCTAAGATGACAATGGGTAAATAGCCAATGGTAAAAATAGACCCAATGATATTGGCTGTCAGAAATGCACAAAAACTGATTACCCAAAGGGGTCGCTTGAGATAATGTTTTCGTTCTTCTATTGGATAGATGGAATCATTCAGTAGATGAGATTTACGTTGAAATGCCATTGCAAATGATTGAATAAAGTTGGTTACGATGGATACAATGATGCCTATCCAGAATTGTTTTGTGTATATTTGTTGTTCATATTGAATTGATACATCCATTTTAGTAAAAAAAAAAAAAAGAAGAAAGAAAGAAAGAAAGAAAGAGGGAAATAAATAAATATGAAAAAAAAGGATAAAGTATATCCGATTTTTTTTAGAAAAAAGTGTATGATGTGATGCATAAATTCCCTAAATTATCTCTCTCTTTGGTCTCCCTTTTTAAAATTAATGCAATTCATTCAATTTTGCGGATTATCATTATTACATCTTCAGCTTCAAATTCAGATCAACTGTTTAACCGAATATAATTGTTTATTAATAAACTCTTACAAGAGCAATTATGGCTCTGCTTGTTCAATAGGTGATTCAGGTAAAGGTGTATCCTTGGCTACGTCCTCATCATGTTTCTTCTTACTTGGTATCCTATGTAACAATCCATATCCTACATCACATCCCAGGGACCCCTCTCCTCCCCATTCATGATTAGGTATGATTATACACTATATAATAAATATCAAAACATACAGCAACATTGTTATCATCTCACCTCTCTGCAACTATCCCATTCTGAGTTATAAAGGTACAGTCTTAGTGGTTTACCGAGATATTCTTCCACAAGGGCATAAAAATCGTCTTCGCTTCTCAGTGTCATATGTGGACTTCCAATGATATAATCAGAGTGAGGAATGATACCTGCCATTTCAGCAGGTGAATTAGGTGCAACATCGAGTACATGCCATACATTCTCTCCAGCACGTTCAAATGAACAGAATCGAATGGAACAACCAATCAAGCTCTTTTCATTTGGATCTGAATGCCACTTTTTGCTTGGCGTTAAACTAACCTCTTTAAAAGATGTTAATATGTCTTTTATATATATATATATATATATGCAATGTACCTCGAAATGCTTGTTCTTTACTAGAATAAATGCCAATGGGCACAGGCTTATCTTCATTTCCTTCAAGTTCTTTTATTAACACTTGACTATCTCCATTATTCTAGTAAACTGTGTTATACTACTAGAGATGACTTGAATGTTTATATATACCAGTGGAATATGATTGATGCTGACAATATAATCAAAAAACTGTTCAATACCTGCGTGAAATGCAGGTGAATTTTCCTTGACCTATTATTTACTTTATACAGTTATATATGATGTATTTTCCTCTCTCTTTGTTTACTCTCTATACTTTCAAGACATGGAAACCATATTGTCCTTGTTCAGAGCTTTGTACTCCTCCCATTATTTTCTTGGAAAAAAAAAAAAGACGCGCGGGTTTCACTACACCAAAAGACGGGTTTCCCTTTTGGCTTGATTTTTTAAAAGTCCGTCATATACATCTACGCTTGATCTCAAGTTCAGTGTATGAGCCCTATTTTTAAAGCTTTTGTTTCTTGAATGAAAGTTTCTTTGCTTAATTTACTTTTGATAATTTAGAATATGTACACGTTAAACATTTTACTACATGAAAGCCAACCAAAAAAAAGGAGATAGAGAAATGACTATGTAGATGAGCTTCACTATGATTGGCTAGTCATAATAATGCAACCAATGACGTCTCCTTCAGATAAAGATCAAGTGATCATGATGTTAATTACAACATTTCTTTTTTTTCTTTTATTTATTTATTTATTCATTCATGACCAATTCAACTGAAGAACAAGAGCAAGCAGCAAAACGATGGATGATCATAGGAGCCTATCAAGCAGGCGCATCAGAAAGAAAAATTGCTCGTTTATCTGGTCTTTCAACAACAGCCGTTCGTCATATCATCTTGAATTACCAACAAAGTGGAAACCCTTCTATACCCAAAAAAGTGCCCAAGAGAGGTACCATAGATTATTATATGAATAGACACATCACTTATTTTTTTTTTTTTTACTTAGTAAGGGAAAAACTAATTGTCGAATATGACGAGGATGGAAATATAATTGAATCTGAAGACGAAGAAGACGAAGAAGAAGAAGAAGATAATGAATCATCCAGAAAGAGAACAAAATATGATGAATCTTCACAGGTAAAGCCACAAGCACCAAAAACACAAGTGACTAAACATCTAAAAGTCTCCTAATCGATTACCACCGCCTTCCAAAATGGACCAAACAATACGTGGGTACGAAGTATGGACACATGCCGACGACATGGCCTTGCTCAAATTTGCTCTTGACCATCTCTACACAGGAGGCTGGCATGAACTAGAAGCTCAATTTGACGGACGACATTCTGCGAGATTATGTTATGAGCGATGGAAGCATCTAAAGGGTTTATTAATACACGGTATCACAGATCAACCCAACACACCATGGTGAGTCAATCGACGGATAAAGAAGGGCACCACCTTGGGCACCAGCTGAAGTTTGGGACGATGTAGGTTCATTTCATGTTTTGGCAATAAATCATCGACGTCATCATCCATATCTGCAAACTCACTTGCAATGCTCATAAATTCCTTATTGCCTGGGACAAAATCAAGCTCTTCTTCATCATCCACTGTCATCATGAGCTTTTGACGCTTGCGTTCCAAGTGTCGTTGTTTTCGTTCCTTGTGGTACAAGCATAATGCATCAATCTCTGCCTTCAATCCTGGGTACTCGGTCTGCGTCAGAGCGTCTTGCACACAGCCATTGAGGTCCACGCGCGCGGGCAGACCGTGAGAAATAAGGCTAAAAATAGAATTAACATAAGCCAATAGGCTGTCAAACAGTCGTGAGTGGTCCTGAGCGTGCACGCGGTGAACAAATGTGTAAAATTGCTGCTCGTGGCGCTGGACGAGGTCAATGAACGGCTGAGCGGTGTTTGTGGCGTCTTGAGCATCAAGCTGATCAATGAGCTGGATGAGGTCATCGATGAAATGTGACACGTGGCCGATGGTATCGCCAATGTTGGCCGCTTTGTACACTTCGGCCAATGGCTCATAAAAGATCGCAAACAGGTCCTTCATAAGCTCGCCCGTGACGCCTTGGAAGACGAGAGCCATGAGTGTCTCTTGTTCTTGCTTTTTGGCATACAATACCCAGAGTTGGTACAGGTACATCACTAGCTGACGAGGTTCGTCTTGTTGGTGAGCAAAGGCCACCTTTAGGATCTGGTCTGGTCTCAGCACAGGCTCGATCGCTGGGTTCTTTAACAGCTCGAGTGTTTCTGATATAGGATCATCGCCTGCTTCAATATCGACGGGCATCTCTGTCTTGACCGCATTCGATATCTTTTGACAAAGAGCTGCATCGTTGATCTTGGCCTCGAGTTCTTGAATATCCTTTTGCATCTCTTTAGACTCCTCACTCAAATTGGCCAAAATGATTCTAATACGTTGGCTTAGTTTAGGTCATTCTATATATTGTTTATTTTACCTCTGAAAAAGACTCTTTCCACCAAACGGTTGAGCCAAAAAGAGATCAAGCACACCCTTGACCATCGCAAACGGGTTTGACAACTTGAGGATTTGAGCCATGGTACGGTAAGGTATGAGTGAATGCGTACGTTTCAAATTAGCCACGTTTTCGACAGATCGATCCGACGTGACAAACTGAGTATGTAGAACAAAGGCAAGACTAAGAGACAGGTTAAACATTGCCTTTTGTAAGGCATTCTACTTACTTGATTCTTCCCCACTCGATCGCCTTTTGTAACTCAACTGGCAACTGATCGATTTTCTCTGTCTTTTTGATCGTCTCAAAGATCTCCAGTAGCCCATTGGGTTGCATCACTTTCTGCTTGAGCATATTGAGGAGAGCATCCAACTCGACAATTTTACTATCCACTTGTTCTCTAAACCTCTTTTCTTCCTTACGTCTGTTCATATCCATCTTTTCACGCTCGTCGCGGTCCTTTTCTTCCTCCTTGGTCAGCTCGATTGGTTTGTCGGTCAAAAAGTTGTAAAAGATCTCGCTCTCGGCCACGGCTGTGATTGAGGCGAGTCGTCGGAGAAAGAGACGAAGGAGGATACGATCCTTTTCTCGATGCAGACAACTCACTTGCGCATTCGTGTCGTGTGCCTTGCTCGGCACAGTTGGAATCTCGGCAGTAGGAAAAGCTGCCTTGAGGTCGTCACGAAGCTGACGGAACTGACCGTGACGTCTGGCAACACGTACGACCTTGTCTGTGCGGGTTTCGATAATGAATTCAGAATGAACGTGTTCTCGAATCGTTCTCACTTCGCTCACGTCACGCACTGTGATGATGTTGACCTTGATTCCATTCATGCCAATCCACTCTAGATAATCTTCCTCGCTCTCGAGATGGGCTAGGCTCATGTCTGTGGCTAGTTCGCCCATATCTTGCCTCATCACTTGAATCCTTTCTTCCGGCCGTGTCGTCTTGATGACAGCAGATAACGAAATGTTCAAGAGCCGCTGGAGCTTATAGAGCATGATACGACGCTGTGAGTCCTCTCGTCTGGGTGCATAATTGTTTATTTTCAATTTATAGTATTCGTCAAGGAAGGACTGTAGCTTGTTCCAGAATTGTCTTTCGTCGCCCTTTTGAAGTAGCGGAAAGTTCAAGACGAAGCGGTGGGCAATGAACTGAAGGAACGGGTAATCGGAAGCGTCCTTCTTGATAACATTGGATAGTATCTCTGGGTGTTGTTCAAATGCGTCAAGCTCTCGTTCGAGTTCCAGAGAGATCAGTTCTCGTTTGAAATAGTGTTCTTGTTGTGGGGTCAGCTCCATATGTGTGTGAATGCAAAATAAAAAGAAAAAAAGGGAAAGGTTGCTTTTATACTAAAATTATGCGCATTGTATCACTCCGCAATTGTTTTATAATTTGCTTGGCAAGCCGTCAAGCTCTTTTTGATGTCATGACGATATTTAGGAACAGATTTTATTGATAGCAAAAAAAAAAAAAAAAAATAGGCACAAGGGGAAGATACATTGGCGAAGAGAACCAAGGCTGTCTCCCTTAGTTTCTTTTGTCAATTTTAATATTATAAGCTATGGGTGATGTATGGCCAATTGTACAATTGGTTGAGCGCGTCTTTAGTAAATTATTTAAAATTTTTGGCCAATCTTGACAGTGAACACGACAAATGCACTAGAGAATAAGCTAATGCTACGAGTGTTTTTCTGTAATGCCGTCCATCTTGGTTTTCTTTAAAGAAGAAGAGATATTTTAAAAAATGCTGTTATTGCTGTATTATAAATGTGTTTCTTTTTCCGGTCTCAGTCAAACTGACATTTATGCTCATTCTGTTTGGAATCATTCTTTTCTTGGTGAGATTATGGTTTGTTTTGCCTCGTCATGACAACCTCATTTCCAAGAAAAGAACAGGCCACTGTAAGACATGTATCATCTTAGGCTCTGGTATTTTATAAAAAGAAAGAGAGAGAAATATAGTCATTCATATTTTTGTGATAGGAGGACATACAACTGAAATGATGCAACTCGTAAAGGGCTTAGACCTTACACGATACACACCAAGATGTTATGTGATTGCAGATAACGATCGATTAAGTGAAGAGAAAGCAAGAGAATATGAACAAGAAATGAAAAAGGTAAGACTTTATTTGATTTGTAACATCGTCTTATATTAGAGTAGGGTACCTTTTTTATAAGCAAGATACCAAGAGCAAGAAGAGTAGGTCAACCTATCAAGACAGTACCATGGACCATGTTGTATTCCTTATTCAAATCCAGTCAAGTCTTTTTGGGTACTCTGATACCTGATTTGGTAAAGTGATTTTTGTTACATATATGTGTATTCATGCCTATATAGATATTATGTAATGGACCTGGTAGCTGTTTACCCATCTGTATACTAGCTTATATTCCAAGGGTAAACTCATCATATCATACGACAAGGTTATTCATGCGCTTATTGTAGTTACTCGGGATCAAAAGGATTGACATCATCTATGTTGAATCGTTTGCACGCGTCCATTCTTTATCTGTGACTGGCAAATTGCTCTACCCATTTGCGGATCAATTCTTGGTTCAATGGCCTGAGCTTGTTTCTCGATATCCAAAAGCAATTTATCAAGGTGTATTGGTTTAAAGTATGCACGTGGGGAAGAATTCGTTCATCTGATTGGATGATAGGAGTATGAATTTATTTTTTATTGAAATAAAAAATTGGTATGTTCTACACACAAAAGATGAGACTTTACATATAAAATTGCTATTACATTAATGCTTTCCACCCATACGAACTATATATACAAGAATGAGTTTACGTCACCATTTATCAATATATATCACTTACGCCAAAAGTTCACAACGACAGCTGCTAACAAAAAGATACAGAGAACAGTGGGTCCAACACGATCATCATAAGCTGCTGCTTCCCTATTTCTAATCTTGTTTGCTCTCCAATGAAAAGTCCACAAGGCGTAGATCATGACACCCATTGCAATTGTCGTAAATAACACGGCTGACAGACGTCCAATACGATCACCAAAATTTAATAAACCCATCGCTAATCCTCCAAGAACGACAGTAAAGTTTAACCATGATAAGAATGTACGTTCATTTGCAAAGAATACTTTGGGTTCAACTCGTACAGGAAGTGCAATACGTTTACCACTCGTAGGTTCTAAAGAAGACATATTTTTTTTTTAAAAAAAAAAAAAAGAGAAAAGAGAAAGAAGAAATCAAAAAATATCCGCTTTGCTCTTTATATTTCCCAGATGGTTATGTGTAACCTCAATTGAAAGCATAAACCATTCTATTAGCAAAAATAAACGTATAGAAATAAAAAGCTATCAGGTAAAGATATGAATGTATGATATGAAGGATGTGTAAATAAAAAAGCAAAAGACAAACAAAAACACACAGACAAGAGGAATAAATAAAGTCAGCCAAAAATATTAAGTCCCCCTTTTCTTTTTTTCTCTTGTAATTGCATGTCCAACGAAAGTTCAGAGAGCGAGTACTCTGATATTCATTCGATCCATTCTGACGAAGAAGAAGAAGTTCAGGACTATAAAAAGGGTGGATATCATCCAGTTCAACTCGGAGACAAGTTTGATAATGACAGATACATTGTGTGTCGAAAGCTAGGCTGGGGTCACTTTTCAACCGTTTGGCTTGCATTTGATAATCTGTAAGTTTATAATCAACTCATAATTCAACAATAACTCATGTCATGTAGAGCAGATCGACATGTCGCTTTAAAGATTGTCAAATCAGCCAATAGATACACAGACAGCGCTCTTGAAGAAATCAAGCTACTTGAAACCGTCAAAAAGACAAACTCACAAGCCAGGGGGTACCAACACGTCGCGCAGCTGCTGGAACATTTCTGGCATGAGGGGCCTAACGGAAAACACGTGTGCATGACATTTGAAGTGCTCGGAGAAAGCCTACTTTCGCTCATGAAGCGATACAACTATAAGGGCATTCCTCAGTCAATCGTCAAAAGGATCTCAAAACAGGTCCTTGAAGGCCTTGATTATCTTCATAGAGAGTGCGGTATCATCCATACCGATCTTAAGCCCGAGAATGTGCTCGTTTGGATCCCAGATGTCGAGGAGTATCTCAAGAAGGAAACAGAGGATATTCGTAGTGGTAAACAACAACAGCAGCAACAACAAGGGGAGCAACCCAAATCACTTTTGGACGGCGTTGACACATCAGGCATGTCAAAGAATCGTAAAAAGAGGTTAAAGAAAAAACTGAAAAAGCAGTTGCTCGCCAATGATGTGAAAGAACAAGAAGATCAGAGGTAGTGTTATTAAACAAAAAAAAAATGGATAAACTAATCATCATTAAAGTGAACTAGAAAATGGGTTCAAACAGCTACAAATCACCAAAAATGAAAAAGTCTTATCATCTTCAGTCCTTGATTTTGCAGTGATCGAAGCCAAAGAGAAGCAACAAGACTTGGATAGCGTGTTTAGCGATATTGTTGTCAAGATTGCTGATCTCGGAAATGCCTGTTGGACAGACGGAGATTACACGCATATCATTCAGACAAGGCAGTATCGTAGTCCGGAAGTCATTGTTGGCGCCAAATGGACTCAGGAGGCAGATATGTGGAGTGCTGCGTGCATGGTAATGATATGGTAATATCATATGTGTGTACAGCTAACAAGCTATTTAGATCTTTGAACTTCTTACTGGTGAATTCTTGTTTGATCCTAGAGCAGGTTCTAAATATAACAAAGACGATGGTACAACTATATAAATATAGCTATTATATATTGACCCTTTTCTCTCTCTCTCTCTCTAGATCATCTTGCCCAGATTTTAGAACTCTTACGTACTGTCCCCAAGATCTTGATAACCGGAGGTGAGTTCTCTCGAGAATTCTTTGATCGGTCTGGTAAATTGAAGCATATAAAAAAACTGCGATACCGTCGTCTACGTGATGTACTCCATGACACCTTTCTTGTTCCTCCTGAAGATGCTGATGCGATCAGTGCATTTTTACTACCCATGTTAGAAATGGACATGACCAAGCGTGCGTCTGCTAGTCAAATGCTTTCAAGTGAATGGCTAAAAGATGTGTAGAAAGAGAAGGAGAGATTATAAATATGTATATACATATACATTTTACATATACACACATACATACTATTATTGTTATTATTCTATTATCACTGCTATCTTTTTATGTTGTAGTGTTGCAGAATATTTAAATGTATAAAAATACGAAAAGCAGAAAAACAAAATTATACATATATATACAAATGTACACTCCCCCGTTCTTCTTTATTGTTGTGGTTTAAATTTAAGCATCAACAGGTCACCTACTTCACTAATATGCTGAATGGCCTCATCTAAATCTTTGCGTGTATGAGCAGCTGATATACAGAATCGAGCTCTTGAACTGATGATCGGTGTTGCTGGGTACCCAACGACGACAATGGCAATCCCACGTTTCAACATTTCTCTTGAAAAGGCGCTTTATAGAATATATTAGCCTCTCTTTTAGGTGTCTTGTAAGAATGTACTTACGATATCTTGGCAGGATTAAACAAGAGAAGAGGAATGACCGGACTTCCTTCATCTCCATAAACAATGAACCCCAGTTTTCGTAGCGCGCTTGCAAAGTATCTAGAGTTCTCGGCCAGTGTCCGAATACGGTCCGCTCCATCCTGAGTACCATCTTGACCTCGAATAATCGTCATACTTGCACTCACTTGTTGAATGATGACCGGAGACATCGTTTCGGCATATGTAAACGCATGGTTGGTTAGCCTCAGATGATCCATAACTGCCTTGTCACCAGCAATGTATCCACCAGCGGCGCCAAAAGATTTAGTGAACGTGCCCATCAAGATGTCGACATGTTTTGGATTAATGCCGTAAAAGTCACAGACACCTCCACCATGCTCACCAAGAGCACCGATCGAGTGTGCTTCATCCACGTAGAGGTAAAACTATCAACCATTTTTCAGTTGACAGTTTTTTTTTGTCATTGATCACTCCTTTTACCTTGTATTCTCGCTTGAGTTTCAGTAGTTCAGGCAAGTTCACAATAGATCCTTCCATCGAGTACAGTCCCTCGACAATGACCAAAATCTTTTTCCAAGGACGATGTGTCCTTGGTTGGCCCTGTGAGATGGCCTCTCGTAAGACGTTTTTCAAATCGACCATGTTGTTATGTTTGAACACACGTACAGATGCTCCTGATAATCGCACGCCAAAGATGATGGAGCTGTGGTTCAATTCGTCACTAATGATCAGGCATCCCTTTAGATGATGTTAGTTTAGCCCATAAAAAAAATGACTCATGTACCTTGTTGACCAAAGCAGGAATCGTGGTAGAGTTAGTAGCAAATCCCATAGAGACAACAATAGCATCTTCCTTGCCTACAAACTGAGCAACCTGCTTTTCCAATGCTCGATGAATATCTAGTGTGCCTGCTTCTACTCGCGTGCTGCTGCTGCTTAATCCATACTCCTTGACACACGATTCGACTTGATCGGCACAGTAGCCTTCGTTTTGAGCAAACCCCAAGTAATTATAAGATGAAAAATTAGTAGCCTCGATCGTTCGACCTGTCAAACTTGGAAGGAGATCAATATTAGAGATATCAAATTGAAAAGAAATTTACCTAAATGTTTGGTTAAAGTCTTTGGATTCTCTCTCCAAGATCTTGATCTTTCGTCCAGGCACACCTGTCATGGGGCGATTCCAACAATCCCTAGCAAGGGAGTTGATAAATGCACACTTTGTCTATATCATGCTCTTTACCTGATACGCATATACATACGTCTTGTATAAAACGAGTCAAAGTCAGAAACCAAAGGCGCATAACCCTCCGTCGCTCGTAGATGAGCATATTTCTTATGCTTAAACATTTTACCAAGAATGTCTCGAAGATGACCAAAGATAATCAATATAAAATAGTTGAGATAAGTCGAGACGAGCACAAACAAGGGTGCTGCTTCCATCTTTTGTTCAAGGTCTTCATATTTCCTTTGGCTAGCTGCGATCGAGTTTCTTCGTTGTGTCGGTGTCAGATCGGGTAAAGTGAGGTCAGATGACGACGGAGGAAGATGAATTAGCGGTTGACGTTGAGGTGGGTACGCAGACGAGACAGAGTAGGCTCGTCGTGTACGTTTGACGAGATTCGAGATTGAAAATGAACGTTGGCGAGTACTCGGTTGAATACCTTCGACATGGATTGTTGGAATCGCTTGTTGCATTTTAATATATAAAAAAAAAAAGTTTTTGAAACAATGGGATTTCCTTTTTTTTAATAAGCTTTGTGTTACTTTTGTTGTTTCTATCACAAAAAACAGAAAACCGAAGATTTAAGGCATTTGATTGGATGAAGTATCAAAGCCCTTCTCCGAGTTGTGCACCTTACGAGAATAGATAATTCCGACATATCAACAGATGTGCTCCCGAATGCTGCATTCGACAATAAAAACAATGCAAAAAACTAAATGGGACCAGTATATGCTTGAGCTACAAAACAAGGTTGAGCTCATTTCAGACTGACTTTTTTTATTAATCTATTCTATATGTCAGTCCAAAAGCCTTTCAAAGTCAATGTCCCTTGATGCTTAGATACGCTGCTCTATATACATGTCGCTTCAGTTAAGTAAGAATTAGCTAAAAGAGATTTATAGTTCCGACTATACAGTCATTCTTATATTCAGAAATCATAAAGAGGTGCTTTAATGAACTAGTTCAATATCAAACATTATATCCTAAGTAAACCGAATCTGTGAATAAATGTTCAATAACCTTGCTCGTCTTGTATGAGATTAAAGATACATTCAAGACTGCTTCAACTCATATAGATATAACGAAGCATGTTGCAAACTGCTAGATTCATTACTATTTGAATATAGGGTAACCAAAAGGAACAAAGACAGGCAAATCAAATTATAGTTTTTATTTCCAATTATGATCATACATATATATATAAAGTGTTAAACATCAACAAATATTGTATTTACACTATTTTATATAATCTATAAGAGCAATAGCTATTGTATACGCGAGGTCCATCTTTGTTAATATATAGATCTGTATATTGAATATCCTTTACCAAGGCTAGCTGCTTTTGGATAAGTCACAACTTGATGTTTCTCGACAGAAGACCTCTTGAGACATTAGGCGTTTGCATGATTATACCATTACTTAGGGTTCATCGAAAATTCGTGCAAACGCTTCAAAAAGTATTCATGCAATGTAAACGAAAACAAAAGAGAAAAAACATGTCAAAGGCATCCGTGTATACTTGTATCGTACAGAAATAGAACATCATTATTTCTAATTATCGAATAGGTTGTAAAAGAAAGTGTTTGTTATCAAATAACAAGTACATACTTTTTGCAGCTCCAAAGCTTACTGGAGTAGGAGATGTCAGCAGAATATTCTAGGCTTATTATAAATAATCCAGTATAGCCTAGAATGAATCGCTTGATATTCATGGATATACCCTTGTTGCTCCCTCTTCTGTAATCCTTAAAGATGACCCAGCCATTTACTCTAATTAATTATTCAAGCAAACAATATCACATAACACTTACAGACCATCTTTCATAAAGCAACACAATTCCTAACGGGTCTAATCTCCTCTGTCAGCTGATCCTTATGTTTACTGTTTGCTGTATACTTAAGCCTTCTTTAAGGTTATGGTATCCATGTAATATATTCCAATACGGATAAGTTACGTTATATTTCCTGAGCATATGCAAGGCTATGATAGGGGTCTTTGATTAGTTGATCTAGCCGAGTTTCAGATAAATACACCCATGCTTTTTGAATATAAATAAAGCTCGCGATTCATTCATATATTCTTTCTTTGCGTTATTGCATACAAGCTGAAAACATGAAGGTTATCTCTGCTGTTCTCTTTGCTCTTGGCTCTTTTATGGTCAAATCTACTGTTGAAGGCTACCACATAATGGACAACTATCCATCTCGTAACTGCCACTCTGGTCCAATGGGTGATGACAGACTTCAAATCTGCTGGAAGGCTTGCTTTTTTGAGAAGCCCAGATGTCCTACAGGCTGGGAACCAGACAGAGTAGGCCACTGCTGGACCTGTTGTCGTAAAGAAGACGATGAAGACTACGAATGAATCCAAAAGTACATGTTACTCTTTAACAATAAAGTACACATCTTTCTTTCCAAATTGGTACGAAATTGTCTTTTGTACTTTTATGGTCTACAGTAGACAGCTTCCTTTTTTACTTTCAATAAGATACAGCACAATAGAAAATTTTAATCTGGGTGTACAATTTTTTACAGAAAAGCACAGATTTACATACAGTTTAACTCTACGGCAACTATTCTTTTGTCTGGAGATTATAAATAAGCATTTTAATGGACTAAATTATTTCTTACTAATATCACACATCATGTTCTAAGCGAACTAGATCCTTGAAGAAATAGTTCATAATCTTGTTTTTGTCATCACTCAAAATGAGATTAAGGACGCAGTCAAGACTGTTTCAACTCAAGTAGTTGGAATAGGGAACGATGTTAAGGAGCTGAGAACCGCAAAGGAAGGATACGAGGAAAAGCTTTATGATATGCAGCAAAGGAATGCTAAACTGAGAGCACAACTTTGAGAATACTCTTGTTGATACAGTTGACGCAAACAGGTCAAAATACACAAGAAAAGACAAGTTAGCTCAGGGCCCGTTTGTAAACAACTTATACCATGATGGCTCTGTTCAACATTCTATTGTTAAGGTTACTAAAAAGAACTCTCAACTCTCTTGGAGCTTCTTAAGAAAAATGACGCAAGACGTGTACGGCAATCCTGTGGATGACATTATGTTCAACGCTGCCTGTGAATATATCACACATTATAGGCTACTAGCTCTCATTTGTGAAGTAAAAAACAGACGCCAGATGGAAGCTGGTAAGCCCTTCAAGGGCGCTAATCCTCGAGCGAAGCTTGCAGCCGTCGAGATTCCCGAGGAGATGACAAATCCTTTCGTATCTTTGCATGATTGCATTGGTTCTCGGTAACGTCAAGCTCATGCTCGGTTACTATAATTATTCTTATACAGGCATCTCAACGAGTTTTTTTCTAATAACTTCAATAATCTCTTTGACTAACCCGAGACGCTTTGCTTGATAACCCATGATATCCGTTCTCCCGTTTTGGAGAAATTTCAAAAGCACGGAATCATCAATTTTGGAAAGACTCTCTCACTTTTGCTAAAGTCTTAAAAGCTCTTGGCCCAATTTCACTTTCTCTAATTGCCTCTTTTCATTATTTGCTCTCAAATTGACGCCCTGAGATCACTACAGAGCATTTGTTTACCTGTTTATAAAAGTAGACCTTTTCCAAGCTTGTTCAATTGTATTGAATCTTTTACATACTTTATAACTTTATGAGAAGTGGATGTAAACTTTCGTTAAAAAAAGCAGATCTCCATTCTATCAAAAGAAACAGTTCAGCAAAGATCGAGAAGCGGTACAATTGAGTTTATAAATGGGAAAATACAGGTATGAGCTTCCTGGAGAATCTTGCGTTTCTTGATGAGGCTGCTTTTGATATCAATGGGGAATGCACAAGGGCTTGGTCCATAAAAGGTACTCATGCCACTGTTACCCTACCTACTACGAGAGCAAACACAGCATCTATATCGGGTACTATCTCTGCTACAGGTTTGATAACAATCGGCGTAAAAAAGCCAAGACTTGCTAAGAAAAGAAAGACAAAAGGGTATGTAAGTTCAAGTACGGCAGCAGGCCACTATATCAGTTTTTTTAAAAATGGCTCTCAATGAAATGGACAAGCATCCGCTTATGAAAGGCCATTATGTAGTGATGGATAATGCGCACATTCACACGCATGAAAGCATTGCAAAGTATATTGAGGATCGAAGATACAAGTATATGTCCTACTTGTTTTCCTGAGCTTAACCCAATAGAGCAATTTTAGGTAATGATAAAGAGTAACATTAAACGTCATAGGCTTTTACAGGAAGACACTTTATCAAAAAGAATTATGGAAACCTATAATAGCATAGAAAAAAGTCACTTCAAAGGTTTTGTCTCGCATTCTTACAAGCGTTGGGATAAATGTAGAACAGAGAGCCCATGTAAATGATCAACAACAATTCCATTAAAACCAACAATGCAAAAGAATCAGGTAAGTAAAAATCAGAAAGCAATAAGTGTTTTTTATTACAAGTCATAAAAGATTGAAAAAAAAAAAAAAACCATTACTCAAAACGCAAGGTACAAGTTCTACCTTTGTTCTTGTTGCTATCAATCAGATTGTAGAAACATGAATATGCGGGACAAGAGCTGCTAACCGTTGCATCAATTTCCGAAGCAAGAACGGACTTGCACAATCACCAAAATGATTCGGATACTTGAACCAAAGACCGAAGACTTATCAAGTATATAAATGACGAGGGCTCTTCCAATGAATGCGGGAGTAATAATTTTGCCATGGGAAACACTACCTGCGCCAGAAGATACACTAGAATTTAGACTAATTTTACAGACACTACCTCTACCTACTACCTATGATGAATTCCAACAAAACCTTTGAAGGTGTGGCACCACGTTAAATATGAATTTATAAAGCTTCCATCTTAGTTTGTTTCTTTTCAAGAAGAAGAAAGAAATAAAAAGAAATGTGGTTATTGCTTTATATATGTTGTCAGTTCGATCAACAAAGAGCCAAGAGCAATCACGTGTAATTACATTAGAGAATATTACCATTGAAAAGTGTTAGGTTAGGCAGAAGCTTTGATAGTCTGAAATTGTATAGTGATGCCACATATAGTACTCCAAGGAAGCGCCCGTAGCATGTAGCGTTGGCCTAAAAGAAATCCTATTCACGCACTTAAAAGATCCGTAAATTGCGATTCTATGTAACAAATTGTTGAATATAGCAATCATCATTATAGGGATCCTCATGGCTTGCAATTGTACTTATCATGCGCAATAAGCAATTCTTGCAAAATGGTACAACCTCACCGTTGTGATTTCTCTTATGGTCAGCCTTTGTCTGGTAACTTGCTTCACCAATGTTGTTATTGTCATCCTCATCAGCACTGCTGTCATTGTTTTTTACACCATCATTATTGTTACTATTGTTGTCACTATCGTTATTTTTATCGTTGTTTCCATGATCGTCGTTATCATTATTAACGTTGCTATGCGATTGCGAATGGGGAATATCCCTTGCCAAGATTCTGAGGGATTCAGGATATTAAATGCATGCGTATGAGTCTCTTTCAATCACATTCATGCCAATTACCATAGGTCGAAATAGGTCGTATCCACGTAAATACGCCGCAATGGGGCTGCTTTTTTGTAAATGTTTTTTTTCGGCAGTTTCCTTGGGAAACACTACATACACCAGAAAATAGACTAACATTACGAGCGCTGCCTCTATTCATTGTCTATGATGTTGCCCAACAAAACTATTCATTATATAGCGTCAAAATAAACATGACTTTATAATGTTGCCATATTGGCTTGTTTTTTTTTTTTCAGGAAGAAGAGGTAAAAAAGAGTTTTTTCCTACTTTTATGTTATCAGTTTAGTTAACAAAGACCACTTAGCTCACGTGTAATTACGGTAAATTCACACTTTATATCAATGGACAGTCTTAGGGTAGGCAGAGGCTTTGGTAGTCTGAAATTGTATGGTGACAATATAGGTAGCGCCCCAAGGAAGCACCCGTAGCATTAACCTATTTTCTGGTGCATTCTCTGCTGCATGCAGTGTTGGCCTTTTCCTTTTTTCAGGATTGTTTGGTAAATATCCCAATACTAGACAAAAAGCTTGATCCAAAGTCAATGTGTTTGTTAAGCAGTTTGTAACAAGAAAGAAGGTGTATCTTAAAACTGAAGTTTGTGAATGTTTCTGGTTGAGTAAGACAATGGGAATTTTCAAAACGAAAGTCAAGCAGGGTATGGTATTGTAGAGGCTGTAGGGCCTGCCGAAGTTGCGCGGCACAGCTGACGGAATGTTCTCTTGTTGAGCGCAGGAACAGGAGGCTCAGGGAGCAGCTGCATGGCTGCCAGGAAAGGTGAGGCGTCTGGCGCAGTCGACAAGTCTGGCAAGAAAGGTTGAGGGCCTAGTTAGGTATACTGAGGAGGGATGAGTGGACGCACTAAAAAGGCTGCCAAAAGTAGGGCATGTTATATTTACATAGATCACACCTCTCTTAATTCTCTATTTATTCATTCTCAGCTAATAGACGACGCCAGATATTTGTAGCCGTCATCCCTCATATATATTCAGGTTGTACCCTCATTTAATAGTTCTTCTTTTTAAAATTAAATGTAGTCAATTGACTCTTCACTGTTTTACAGCTACATAAGCACATACATCACAGTAGTGCCATTTTACTCTTGTTGGTGGTGATTGGCAGATTAAGCAACAGATTATTAAAGTAGCAAATCACATATTATCAAATCAAACGCGGCTTAATACAAGGAACAATAGTGATTGACTGCAGAGCTGTCTATACCAGAATGCAGATATTATCATATCTACCACATTTATATCGAATCTAGTTTCGACATGAACATAATCAGGCAATATAAGCTGCATTTAAAGAGCAGTATTATGACAACAATCGGCTACGTCCGGAAATCAAAATCAGCAGAATCACATATGACACGTTGCCGGCTGATCAATAAGATGATCAAGATACAGAGAGATAAAAACCTCTGCACTAAAGTATATGTTTCAAAGAGATAAAGTTGTCAACTGTTTGCTTCTGGAGCAGTTAAAAGATTGTGATGGATCTATTCAAGGTAAATAGTTTGGTGAAAAATAGACATCTATTAAATAACAATACTAAACTGTTAGATCTGATATATCAACTTGAGAGCAAGTTCAGCAAAGCTCGGCTTGTAGTTTTAGACTACGCTAGTTTATTGACAAATGTCGATGACAGTAAGTCTTTTTGGCAAACACTTGGTGTAATCAAAAATGCACTCAAAAATAAACTAATGCTATGGACGTTTTCTTGGGGCGCTACAAGTGACATCGCTTTACAACTTTACACTGCTAAAATCTCTGTCTAACCTAAAGCTTTCCAGTTCACTCTCTCTGATATAAAATACGATGCCATCATGGTTATACGTGTTCTTGCATCTTTGTTGATCAGACTGACAACATAAAACTAAAATAACAACATTTCCTTTTTATCTCTTTCTTCTTTTTAAAAAAAAACAATCCAAGATGGTAACCTCATAAAGTCATGTTAGGTTTAATGGACAGTGCAAAGCCTCGAAACTGTGAGTACGCTTGTTTTCCTGAAGCGCCTCGTTGTGGTGAATTTATGGAGCCAGTATTGTTTAATCTATGCTGAACCTGCTACGTTAAAGAGAGAAATAGCGAATTTGTTTTCATGAAATAAAAGGTACATATAATTCTTTAATATTAAAGTACATACCTTTCTTTCCAAAACGATGAGCAGTTGTGGTTTTATTTTCAGTCTATCAGTAGATGAAGAAAGATCGTCCAAGTTTATTAAGATAAAGCCTTTTCCTTCGCCCTTTTTCTATGAAAAGTTGAATAGAAGTGTTATACAGAAGCCAATAAGAAAGTGTATAGAATCAAATATGATAACCTTATGTATTAATTAAACATACCTTTACTGCTATTTCTTGAAGCAGATGCTCTGGTATGAATGCAAGTTAATACGATAGAACTCACTATATTAAGAAAGCATAATGAAGTGAATTTTACCCAGACTCTAAGATATAAGGCAGTTTATCAAAACTTTCAAATAGGCAGCACAAGTCCTTTTCTTAAAGGTATTTGTTCTCTTAGGGTTATCTTGCACTTTATTGGTGAATATTCTTTCTCATTTATTTTACCATTCACATACCAAAGCTTGTTATCAAGACTAAATTCACTATCAACAGTAGCTGATATGATCTTTGACGAATCGCTGGTTTTGCAGATATCAAATGTCGTGTCATCACTTTCCACAAAGTCACTAACATAAACTTGGCTTATGAACTACCGGAAATTTTTCCAGTTGAACTGCGACGGATACAACAGCTCCCAGCTCTGATGGCTAATATACTTCTTTTAGAGGAGTGGGTTAGAGGTAAACAAAACTGCTATAAGAGTTATCATAGCAAACACATTGGCTACCATCAGTGTATTTGGTTGTATTGCCCATTACACTACAACGTTCAACTAGTTATGCCTTCCAACAAACGTTTTCCTTAGTTAAATTTGCTTTATACTCAAGTATCTGATTTTATCAACAAATTCCTCGTGAATCTCAAGGAAACTATAGATTCAAAGCATCAGATAACCTTTGGATTATTTCAGCAACACTTTTTTCTCTTTTTATATTAAAATTGATTTTTAGATCGCCTCCTCCAAATCTGCTACAGCTTTTTTGCCAAAGAAACTATAAAATAATATGCTTATATTCAAAGCATGCAACAATCAGTATTGCAGAATCTTTATACTTTTTATTATTTACGTTATAGGAGACTTTGTAGCTCCACAAGGTATATGCCCAGGCTTTCTTGTGTAATGTCAATAAATACACTCTCTGTTGCTTGACTTCAGTGCCTCTCTCACATAAAAGTACGGCGTCACTTGCATTTACCACTCTTAGTCTAGTTAAGATAGCTTTTATTTTCCTCTTCAGGTCACTATAAAAGAGAAAATGAATTGGAATACAGTCTTTTCTTTAAGTAATGTCGCATAATTTGAAAATTTATAATACAAATTATACAAAATACGACACCTTGGAGCGACATTACTTTCTGGAAATAGTGTATAACTAAAAACTACAGGATAGTCACTTGCAGGGTAAACTTCTCAATAGAGTGGCTACTGCTATGAAAAGGTCCATTTTACTAAATGAAAAACCTTTGACATTATATATAATTAGAGGCACATCAATTTATAGCCGGTTGGATTTTAGTTCGTCTACTGCTTCTTTCAATGTAACTGACTGTCATCAACCTTGGATGCAATGCTATAGACTTGTATCTTGAAGAATATTGTTTTGCAAGATTACCTGTATTTACTTGGCATAATGACAGTGAATGCATACAAGTTATTTGAGGACAACACTTACCAATGCTAGTGCTTTTTTTTAAGATGAAATAGCGACATTACCTTGGGTAACTGTTTCTGGATTACAGACCCCTTGAAACACTAGGCGTTTTCATGGTTACACCATCATTTGGAGTTCACCAAAATTCCGTGCAAATGTTTCAAAGTATAATGGTAAACGTTGCAAATAACACAAACTAAATATTTTATTCATGCAACGTAAACCAAAACGAAAGAGTCAAATGCAGGTGCGTATGTTTATATTACACAAGGATAGCGCGTCATTGTTTCCAATTATTAAATAACAACAAACGCTCATACTTTTGCAGTTTCAGATAAAGAATTTTCTCGAGCGTAGAGGCGTCAACCGGACATCCTGGGTTTGTTATAAGTCACTCAGTTTAGTCTAGAATGAACTGCTTAATATTCATGAATATACAACTTTTTATAACTCAATCATTTACCTTGATTAACTATTCAAACAAATAATATCGCGCAACACTTATATAGATTGCCTTTCATAAAGCAACACAATTCATAATACACCTGCCTTTCTTTTTGTCAGCTGATCCTTATGTTTACTGTTTGTTGTATACTTCGGCCTTCTTTAAGGTTATGGTATCCATGTAATACATTCCCATGTAGATAAATTACGTTATGTTTCGTGAACGTATGCAAGGCTATGAGGAATATTTGATTAGTTGATCTAGCCGAGTTTCAGATGAATACACCCATGCTTTTTGAATATAAATAAAGCTCGCGATTCATTCATATATTCTTTCTTTGCGTTATTGCATACAAGCTGAAAACATGAAGGTTATCTCTGCTGTTCTCTTTGCTCTTGGCTCTTTTATGGTCAAATCTACTGTTGAAGGCTACCACATAATGGACAACTACCCATCTCGTAACTGCCACTCTGATCCAATGGGTGATGACAGACTTCAAATCTGCTGGAAGGCTTGCTTTTCTGAGAAGCCCAGATGTCCTACAGGCTGGGAACCAGACAGAGTAGGCCACTGCTGGACCTGTTGTCGTAAAGAAGACAATGAAGACTACGATATCATGAATCCAAAAGTACATGTTACTCTTTAACAATAAAGTACACATCTTTCTTTCCAAATTGGTACGAAATTGTCTTTTTTGTATTTTCATAGTCTACCAGTAGATGAAGAGATGTCGTCTACGCTTCATAAGATAAAGCCTTTTACTTTCGTCCTTTTTGTATGAAAAGCTGAATGGAATGTCATAAAATTCGATAAACTGTCAAAAAAGCAGATAGACCAAGATTTTACTTAACTTTATGTACTGCGCCTTGCCTAATAGAGGTAAAGATGGATAGTCTAAGGTATCAATGAGATATTCTTTTTAATAGTATTCTCTTGAATCATATGCTCTCAGTATGAGCTTATTAAAGTTATTCAGATATTGTTAATGTATAGAGCTGTAATCTGTTAAGCAAGCGACGTCAAAACCAAAAAAAAAAAAGGAAGCTTCACAACTACAAATTATTTATTTCTCTAGGAAAAGAAACAATTCAATAGATTAGCAGTTACATGCGTTCACATCAACATAGATCTTGAATGCACTTTGCACAGACGATCCACCACGAGTATCTTGGTTATTGCCACGACATTTTTGAACTATTTCTTTACAAGCATAAGTGATATCGTTTGAGCGAACTCTATCGTACAGATTTCCACGAATGTACTCCGCTCTGATATCAACGACGGCCTTTCTTCCGCTTCCAGTGTTGTAAGGACCATACGTTATTTGCATAGGATAATCCTTGCCGACCAACTTGTTTGAAAAGTCGCTGGAAGCCTTTTTACAGGCTGCCACGACATCACTGATATAACCCCAGTGGCCGCTACCGTAGCATTGGGTGGATTCTCGCTTATCTAAGGCAGCGTTGCCTGCGTTTGTGGGCTGAGCTTGTACCAAAAGAGGAGCAAATACCAAAAGACTAAGGAGATAATTTGTAGAGACCATTGCGCGGATATATAATTCGTATGATTTTTTTCTTGAGAAATATATATTTGAATTGATTAATACATGTACACGTATTTATATAGTTTTCGTCCTGGTATGATCGTCTATCATAAGCTGAGGCATGATATGTAACGGTACACTAGATCGAACGTCTTCATTTTAAATGTCACACAGGTGCAAGTCATTACTGCGCTGATGTCTGATTTGGCAAAGCACATATGGAAACCTTACAGCACCAGTTACCAAGCCTTGTATTCATTGGTTGGCCTGTTTTATTGAAAAGGATAATGCTCTTAGATCAAAAGCATCATTCGTTGTAAAAAGCGATTTGTATACTCTGGGAGCATACAGTATGCATAAAATTTTAGGTAATACGAAACTGACTGATCAACAGAACTGAAGCAAAAGAGTGCGATTATAAGGCCTTAAGGCCCTTTTATGTAAGTGTAAATATATCAAGAATAAGTTAAAATACATATGACCTAGCACTATACTACCATTATGTCTATATAGTACGGCAGAAACAACACTTATCTTTACATTTTCGGGGTTGCAGAGTATAATAACCCGATAATATTAATGTGTACATCATCAATGAGGTGTATTTCTGTTTATAAACTCCTGTACTTGCGCAGTTCATGTTTCAATGATATAACTCAACTGCGCTTTGTATACATGGTTATGTTTTAGAAATGAAAGATCGGCTTGTTCCGAAAACTATGGCCGCTTGTTAGTTACGAGCTTTTTATGATACAGAGTCACTGGAGTCTTGATTTTATGCGCTGCCATCAGCTAAATACACTGTTCATTATGGATCTACAATCAGATCAAAAAGAGACCGTCCTACATTGTGCAAGGTATCAAGTGCATATTACACACAAGAACATTGATAGACATGCCAAATAAGTATGACCAATGTTACATGCATTAGAAGACACAGAACGACCAACCTTTCTACAAAGATTGAGTAAAGTGATGTCGTTGATAAGCGTGGTTATCTTTAGCTTATGGATTATATCATTGACTGGAAAACGCATAACTCTTTAAACTGTTGATGATTAGTTTGACTATTATGTGCTTTATCAACATAATCACATGCCTATTACTACGCACGCTGATAAACAAGGCTGTTTAACGGAAGTAATTCTTAAGCATGATCTACGGGGAACAAAACAAGCCCAGATTTCTTCCAAACTGATACTCAGAAAGGCCTTGAGTGTAAAGACAGGTGCTATAGAACAAACAAGATCTTGAGCTCTCTTTATCACCCCTTCAAGATACATATTATATTCAAGCCAATCATATCAAGTTTGAACCATAAACAAACATTAGTTTAATTCTAATACAAGGAAATCTATGCTAACAGCTCTGGATGCTCATCCCAAAATTGTTGACCGATAATATCTTCATAAACGGCGGTTGGTATCAGCTTCGTCCGTGTCACCAACTCTCCTGTACGCGGTGATGTTGAGGTGACCTCTGTCTTTTTACGTATGATGGTTGATCCTTTTCGATAAATAGGGTCTATATTGTTGTAATTGATATTGAATGTCGAAAAAAGAATTTCATTCTTGTCCTTTGCAAAGGATCCCTAACGGAAAACACTAAGTATTATTCACACACCTACAAATAAAAAGTATACCCTTAGTTTAGCCTCAGCTTCAGATTCCTTCATGCCTGACTTGACCAAGGCCCAAAAAGTGGTATTATAAAGGTTATTGATATGACAATCTGCTTGACGCCAATTGAGATAATCACGCAAGACTTGATCATTAGGATAACACACAACGCGAGAGTCAAAGCAAGGTGCGTACTGTAGCTTTTCATTTCCAAAATACGTTGACCAGTGCATCACAAAGTTGGACGCAAATAAGGAGACGATCGTCGATGCTATCTTGCTGCTTCGACGTGAATACAGGTTGGTCGTCTTGGGGAGAACAAAACTGTATTCGTCACTCTGTCCATATGCCATTGTGATATCCTTGATATCCTTCATGACTTCAATAGCACAACGATTCATCAGATCGATCGATCGACGATCATTGGGTTTTTCAAAGTTGTGAGTTTGAGAAAATCTAGTCATGATCAACATAAATCTCTATATATTTCTTTGTTTTTCAAACCTGCCTATGAAAGCCTCGTCCGTCTACTCGAACAACCAGCCAAGTGTTTGGCAGCATGTTGTCCGCCAACTCAAACTGTCTGACATATTCATATTTGGAATTAGCCATATTTCTATAAAGAACCACAAAAAATTAAAAAAAAAATATTTCTCTCCCCCTCTTAAAAAAAAAAAAAAGAAATGCAAATGACACTTTTTATTGTGAATAAATATGTACACAGATTAATAAGGACGAGAAGGAAGTTGAGTAAGCAAAATGTTGTATCTCTTCTTGATAGTAATACGGTGACGAGAGTACTTGTCGTCAGGAGAGAATCTAGCAGGGTGAGCAGATTTGGTGGGCATGCCGGTGGGATCTACTTTCTATTGGATTCATTAGTATCTTAAATCAGTCGTTATTCTTTGATATATATATATATATATACCTTAAGAGTGTAGATACGTTCACCCTTGTCATTCAAATAATACATCAAGTACATTTTATGTTGTTTAAAAAGATATAAAAAAAAAGAGAAAAAGTTCCTAAAGCAGGTTCAATCAAGGTTGTGACTTTATCTAAGCCACGGAACGAAATTAACCCAAGACACACAGACAAATAATGTTTCTCTTTTTTTGTAATGAAGATTCAGTGTATTGGCAATAATGTATTCATTTGCAGAACAAGACAACTCAAGATATTATTTAACTGTCCACTAGAGACAAAAACACTAAATAAACAACAGCAAGAACAAGAACAACAACAGGAAACGCGTTCTGATCTCTCTTTTATCTTGTCGCGCTATTTTAGCGAGCAAGGTAAAAGAGCGACAGACACACAGTATTCTTCAGTGACCAGCGCAATAAATAATTGTGATGAACAGACTGTGTTTAGAATACCAGACTTTCGATTGATTGATATTCACACCATTGACCTTGTTGTGATTGCAAATAGTGAATGTATGCTTGGATTACCTTATTTAACTGAATATATGGGATATAAAGGAAAAATTATTGCTACTGAACCAACCATTGAATTTGCAAAGTAAAAAGAAAAAAAAAAAAGCATTAGAGCTGTTCTTTTGATATGATATGTAAATAGACAACGTATGGAAGAACTCGTCATCTATCACAGCCAAAACATATCATGCATCGACCCAGGCTCATCCCGATACCTGACTCAGCTTCTACCCAGCTCGAGTATTCCTGAAGGTTGGCGATCGATTTATACCCTGAGAGATATCGAAAGCTGTATTGAAAAGATTCAACCCGTACGATATAATGAGAGTTTACTCTTATTTTCTACACTGCGTCTTGTCGCTCATAGCTCTGGCTACTGTCTTGGTAGTGCCAACTGGTTGTTAGAAACGAGTTTTAAGAAAATCGTCTTTTTATCAACAACCTCTAATTTCAACCATTTGCATCCTGCTCCTTTTGACCAAACCGTCTTGGCGGATGCAGATGCTGTTATTGTTGCAGACGTGGTTGAGCCTTCTTCGAATCATATTTCATTTGATAGAGCCATGACCAAACTACTTGCACATACGGGTACGCATATATATATATATAAGTTTTCAACACTCTTCTTATTTTCTTTTAGCGCGAGCCCTTCGATCCAATCATAATGTCTTGATCGCTTCTCCTTCTATGAACATATTATTTGATCTCATCGGCATGATTCAAGCCTATCTCAAGTCGATAGGCGGAAAAGAGATCGGTCCAGATAGGCACGATATACCCATGTACGTGGCGAGTCCCATTGCAGACAAGAGTTTAAAGTACGCCAACATTTGTGGTGAATGGATGAATTTAGATCGACAAAGTTTATTGTACGAGCCTCATATGCCTTTACCCCATGGTCAGTTGATGAAGACAGGCGCCTTAAAGGTCATTCCATCACTTGATTCGACTGTCAAGCCAGAAATAAGGCAGCCTTGTATCGTCTTTGCTGGAGACCCTACATGTATCCATAAAGGCTCGATTGCTTGGTTCATGAATCGAT